TTAGTGCTCGTGACGAAATATAAAGGAATATATAGAGAATTAATCTATATATATAACATACTAGAGAAGAATCATTACGATTTTATATTCAGCGAAGAACCAAACTTAAGCGACTCCGAACCTAAATATGACACCGTGTTATTCTATGGATACTATCACGCGGTTATCGAAACACTAAACTAAATTTATTACAAGGAAGAAGTACTCAAGATATATATAGTCAACAATAAACTCAAATTAGACTACACTCAAGAACAAGACAAAAAGAAACCGGTACTAATATAGCGATACTTTAGATACCATAATAATGCTCTATATATATATTAGACTATCACTAGACAACCGCACTACTTCCCATTTAAAGACCGATATAACCTTACCCCGAAGGAGATTAATCAAGACATGGCGAGATATTATATCAAAGGAGAAAGGACACGAGACGCTATGGTTATTAAGACACACTACTAGATCCAGATAAATAACGAGGAAAGACAATATAGTCTCTATATAAACCTAAACACGAGATAAATCATCATAACCCTGCGTCTATATTACGAGAAATAATATTCGCATAAAGGCGAATATACACATAACGTAATTAGAAGCGAAACACATTACCTACTAAATAAGGCAGAAGATATCATGATGATTAATAGCTTCGAAGGACCAGAAGAAAGCGATTCGATAAAGTTCGTTATAATTAAAATCACTAAAACGTATATTTAGTTTATGACCGCATTCTGGAGGCTGACAAAGTGCAGACAAAACGGCTGTCTAAATGAAGTATCTCACTATCACCTGGAGTACGACCCGAATGCTAAGGAAAAGGACTAAGTGTTGGTGTTAACGAAAAGGTGATATATCGATAAAGCGTGTGATTATATATCTAAGATATATACATACCTCACAAATAAGAATACAATCAAGCCATCGATCGAGATACTTCTATATATCTTTAGAAGCAAGGGTGTAACTATAAACGACGTGCCAAAAAACTAGGCGGAGGATCTATCATGAGGCGGAAGGTCTCGCGCAACAAAAGAAAGCCTCGGAAACGCTATATTAATATAATATAGATTTAGCGTTTAATGTCATTGGTCTTCAGCGCTAGACTAGCTAATAAATCTATTTAAGTAATGATTGATAGCGAGGCAAGTCGAGACTATATATCACCGAAGACAGCAATAAGAATAAATAAGCAAAGAAAAAAGAATCTATACCCGGTCTTTATGGCAGACAAAACACCAGAAGAGTACGATAGTGAATAGATACAACAGGAAATTCGCGATATCTATCTCGAAATCGAGAAATATAGAGAGTAAATCAAGCTCGACGTGATGCCGATTAAATATAATATTATTCTAGGGATAAAGTGGCTAAAGAAGTATTCACTAGTTATAGACTAAAGAAAAGAAACTTTATTCTTTCTAAATTATAGTCACGAGAAGATAAAAAGAGAGAAATAATTAACTCCTATAGTATCTTTATAGAGAGCGATATAGATATAACCTAGAAGAAGAACCTTAAATAAGATATAAGAGAAAAGTCTATCTAAAGAGTATAAGAACTTTGTAGATATCTTCAAAGAAAAAGAAGGCATAATAACGCTACTAAAGTATAAGTCATAAAATCATAAGATCACGCTTGAAGAAGGGAAAGTGCCGAAGTATAATGAGTAGCTTTAACCCTTGTCTTTAAAGGAAGAAAGCTTCCTTAAGGAGTATATAGAGACTCACTTGAAGAAAGGCTTTATCTAATTATCTAAGTTATCCATAATATATAGTGTGCTTTTCGCCCTAAAGAAGAATAAATCTTTTCGACTATATATTGACTTTTAACCACTCAATGCGATCACCTGAAAGAACCGGTACCCACTACCCTTGATTAAGGAACTGCAGAACAGACTTCTTAGCGCAAAATACTTCATCGCACTCGATATATAGAATATCTACTATCGAGTACAAATAAAGAAAGGCCATAAATAGATAACGACTTTCAAAACTAGCTTTAAGTTATATAAGTATTGTGTCATGCTATTTAGATTGACCAATATCTCGATATCTTTTTAGGAACTAATTAACAACACACTACAAGAATACCTTGACGACTTTGTAGTTATATACTTAGACGATATACTTATATTCTCGAAGATATACGAGAAATATATACAGTATATTCAAAAGGTTCTGAAAAAACTCTAGGAAAAGAATCTACTGTTAAAACTCAGCAAGTGTGAGTTCTACAAAAAACGAATTCGATTTCTAGGCCACATTATATTCGGTGGGGGTATTGAAGTGAATCCCGATAAAATAGCGCCAATCAAGGACTGGCCAGAACCCAGGAATGTTATGAAAGTATAGTCTTTCGTTAAACTACTCAACTATTATCGAAGATTTATAGAGGGATTTTCGAAGATCGCAGCGCCTTTAACGAACCTTACCAAGAAGGATATCCCATTTAAGTTCGAACCGAAATGCAAGAAAGCATTTAAACGCCTCAAAGAAGCTATCATGACGGCGCCAGTACTCGCGATATTTAACCTTAAGCTGAAATACTAGGTAGAGATAGATACATCTGTCAAGAGGACCAGGTTATAGTGGGGAATGGTGAAGATAATGGCAGAGAATAGCGTGAATTGCCTTGTATACAAGGATAACTATGAATGAATGTTGTGAGTGAAGCTTGAAGGACTTCATCTCGAGGTGGGTTGAGCCCTCCTTAAATAGCTAACGAGTGACGAAGAAACCAAGCATTATGAGTCATATCCTTCACTCGTGAGTCGTAACCTTTACTCGTGAGTCATAGCCTTCACTCGTGAGTCATGATCTTAACTTAGCTGGCTAAGTGAGGCTGTGGTTAACCAGTTGGAGTTCTGGGCGAGGCTGTGGGCTTTGATAGTCACGAGGCTTAGTCTCCTGGGTCCCTGGGGTTGGTTCCTTGCCTCGCTAACTATAGTGAGGATTCACATATAGTCAACAAATAAGCCTCGCGCGGGCCTCTTATTCTCAGATATCAACCACCCTCAATCAGCTGCGTATATAAAGGAAAGGGAAAGAAAATAGTCTTAATAACTTCAATCAACAGAATGTTGATGCTTATTATTGGTGTTGGCCGTCTCTAAGTAAGTGAGAGACCCAGTCCATAAAGCAAGTAGAAGAAGAATACCATTAAATTGACTGAGAAAAGAAAGATTCATGCCTCGCAGAAACGCCATGGGCGATCTGTCTTCTATACCCCTAGACAGGAAAGACAACTTCTGTATCTAGTACGACGCAATCCGAAGTGGAAATAAGACAGAACTATACAAGAATTGATAGTGCCCATAAAAAGTCGGTTGTTGAATACATTCTTGTTAAGAGTGGAACTAAGAACTAGATCGCCGCTGAGAAGCTTCTTCTAGAGCCTCATCATACTAAGAAATGCCTAGAATTCACTACTCGATACAAATATTGGGATAAATCCGACTGGGAAAGAGTTATATTTTTAGTGATAAGCGTCCCCTTAAAAGAGTTTGTAGAGAATAACCTACCTGGATCTTTTGAACACGCACTTAGAAATTTAATGTCAACAAGATTAAACTCCGCAAAATGGGTTTGAATATATCTATTATGGTTTAGGAGGCTATCTAGACAGGTGAAAGGTCTGATCTCTATATTATGCAACTAGATAAGGTCGTCGTTAGTTATGAGTATAACGCTTACTTATACCTCGAGGTTGTAGAAGATTAATTGCCTCTGTGTTAGTCTCCAGGACTTACGTTGCAGCAGGACAACTCTAGGATTCACACCGTTAGGGCTGTTAAGGATTGGATGGAATTCCTGTCATGAATTAGCCTACATACTCACCGGATCTCGCACCGATCGAGCATATCTAGTCTATACTAATAGCAGGGCTTATAGCGCAATTCCCTCACACCGTAGAGATCGGGGAGTCACAAGAGGCCCTCGATCGGTTCGGCAAGGCAATCATTCACGTGTGGAATTGCCTAAAACAAGCGATAATTACGACGTCGTAAGGAGCATGACAACTGGAGAGAATTCGGTCCTAGACGCGAATGGTTGGTGCACCAGGTTCTAGAAGTGTTAGAACTAGAGTAAAACCAGTATCATTCAGTAGCACACAGAGCAGTCTATCAAACGTATTGCAAATAGGAGGACTATACATAGAGTAATGGTAAAATGTATGGGGTGTTGCAGAGTGATGGGGGTTTATAGTGTAACAGAATGAAAAGTTACAAACTGGCGTTACTGCGCCTGACAACTTGTGTCTGCACCGCATTGTTCCACGACGGCACATACAAAGCACAAAGTCCACAGGCTGTTGCAATCGTGGAGCACCCTGTACAAAACCGGTCACACTGTAAAATTCCTTGACTAATAGTTCATCGGCCTGAACGTAAGCAAGCCACCCTCACATACCAGCTCGCCAGTTATTGAACCAACCTACAATATGCATACGGAACACCTGCAATATGCATACGGAACACCAGAGGACTTCAGAGATCATTCGCACATTTTGCCACTTCGGAAGTGGGACATATCACACCAGCTATACGCTTACCAGTCTGCAAAGTCGAAGAAGCCGGAGTGACCGTGATGCTGCCTGGGAGCACGAAGAGCATGCCATTGCCATCTTTGTGTGTGGTTGTAGCGGCGTGAAGATAATTAATTGACTAGCTAAAAGTGAGGGATATACTCCGTACATAGGAGCAAGTAAGCCCTTACAGCAATCGGGAATAAGTATTACCGATGCCGGACCTAAAATCATGTCGGGGAAGGAGCCGGCCGAACCCAAAATGACACCAACATACCGCGATCTACCTAGACGACAATCAGATAAATGGCTCACAAGGTCCAATACTCTTTTGGCATCAGCCAGTCCTTCGTGCCCAATTCCAACGAACTATCTTGGGCGAGGTTCGTCAATGCGGTTGACTTCTTCGTTCGCTGACAACTTCTAGTCGGCTCTCGACAACCTTTGACCGTGTGTGCATCACCGACATGAGCCGCACGCGAACCCATCTCCACGCTTTCGCACAACCCGATGCACCTTCGCCAGTGAACCGCCCGACTACCCGCCCGCTGAGCTGTGTGGAATGCAGTCGACGGAAGATAAAATGCGACAGGAAAATACCCTGCCGGGCTTGCTACGAGAGAGGTGACGGTGAACTCTGTCAACGCCAACAGATTCCAAGCAACCGATTTAGATCCGGCACAAATGGCCCGAGAGGTAGAGGTCCTGTGCATGATGATATACTGGAAGAGCTCGAGATATTGCGTGAACGACTAGACTCTGTTGAATCAGTTCTCGGCCTCAATCGCGAGCGAACACCAACCACAGCTCGTGACGATGGGCGCGATGTCAAAGAGCCTGCATTGGTGAGTGCTATGGAGGAGGCGGCACTGGGTATTGGGGAAAATCGCAGGTGGAAAGGCCCTTCTTTGATCGTCGAAAGCGCCCCGTTACCGGGGACTCTTCACCAGTGGTACACACCTACGACCCTCGCTTCATGTGTGGCGGCGCTCCCCGAGCGACGCCAGTCTAAATTCCTTCTGGATTCGTACTGTGACAACCTCAACTGGATGTGCGGATGTCTTCATCGCGAGTCGCTTCAACAGCAGCATGACAGATTCTGGACACTTTATGAGCAAGGGCACCCCCCAGATGGAATGTCCTTGGCTGTGTTGTTCGCTGTTCTCAGCACCGCCGCCTTTTTCCTCGATGACCAGCAGGCTTGGTCGCAGGGGCTCGTTCCTCAACGACTGCTCTATTCTGCCCGAGACTGGTTCAACTGTAGCATTGCCACCTTCTTCCGCTGCGGCGGCCTGACTCACCATTCACTTGCCGCCTGCCAGACCATTCTGACCCTGAGGTATGCTTTCCACCTGACCGGGAACTCGAGCCTTCATCAGCAACTGGCATATCTGGGCCTTGGGATGGCTCGAGCGATGAATCTCCATCTCCTTGGAAGTTTCCACAGCACTTCGGACGAGGACTTCCAGGCACAAGAGATAGGTCGCCGAGTCTGGTGGCTACTTCTGGAGGGAGACTGGGACCTCTTGCCATATCATCGATATTGCTGTGAGTTGTTCAAGAGGGAGATCCGCACCCCTAACCATGGGTGTCTGTGCTGACAAGTAGGACTTTATTTTTATCGTAGTTGTCTCGCCACATCATTTCGAAACCGCACTCCCAGATCTCACCGATGAGGGAACGCTTGCCTCGTCCTCTACCGATGCGCAGTCTCTCACATTCCTTCAGGCTTGTTGCCCATCGGCCAGAATTCTTTACGATGTTTATGCGCCCCTTTCAGCAAACCAATATCCTCTGTACGACTCTGTTATATCTGCGTCCAAGCGATTAGATCAAATGGTTCAGAGTCTTCCTCCCGAAGTGCAACAAGCCGCCGAACCTAGTCAGAACTCGTCTGGCCCGCTATTTATGTGGCGCTTCCTGCTGATGATGTTAGCATATCGATCCTACATTATCCATCGATCCTTCTTTGTCAAGTCACTGTCGGAAAACCGCTACAAGATCTCCCGCATTGCCTGCGTGCAGGCAGCAGAGACGATCATAAATCTGGCAGACAAGGGTCTGCCGGATGTCTTCTATCGCCTGTGGAACACGACGCTCTGGCTTATTGCAGCGGGTCTTGTTCTGGGAGTTGATCTTCTCTATACCGCCAGCCAAAAGAGGTCATGTCCAGATGCCGCAGCTCGACGCAGGAGGTTGATGGGACTGGTCGACTTGTTGAACAATTCTGCGGACCAGTCGGGGATTGGAAGACGAGGCGCGAGCCTCATTCGACATATATGTGAAATGGAACAGAATGTTCTCGCAGGCTCGCCATCCAATACACCACTCACACGCGATGATATTGTCCGTATTGTCAGACTTCCCAATGCCAACCAGACCCTTGATACTTCAGCCAGCTCTGTATCTGAGACCATCGACGCTGATTGGGATTGGAACTCCTATCCTGGTACAGAGCCTGCTCTTTACCCTCTTAGCAAAGACAGTCCGACATTTCTACAATTGCCGGGTCGTCCAGCTGAGCAGTCAGCGGGCATGGGCTACGATATTTCTAATTCGAGCTCTTTCATGCCTCACTGGGGCCACCCGGAATCATGCGGGACATTTTACGCTCCAGTAGGTGAAAGCCATTTGGACACCTTGATTGCAGACATGCTGCCCGATCCTCCGCCAGGATAACTATAAGCGAGTCTTTATATATAGGATGTCTCCTGGTTTCCTGAATGGAAGGAGGCAACCGCCATGCTCGCTAACTATTCACCAGAGGAAGTCAGGTTCCATCTTGCGACCATGAATGATGCGCAAATCATGTCAGTGTCTTGGTAGTATAGTGTTTTGCTCTAATTGTTCTATCTGCACAGACCGCAGCCGAGCTTCGGAAGTCTTGGCACATCGAGCCCTCACCCACAATGTCCAGCTAACCTTTTTGTGGGCAGTTCATTCCAGGAACTATCATTTTCCATGTTCCTTGCAGTAGCGACGATGTGCCATTAAAGGAGGAGATAACAGAAAAAGAGAGAAACCAGCCCATGTGAGAACAGTAAAGTCGTCCAGGTTGGGGCGAGCTGCTATACAGCGGGTCCTTTTGTAACAGTCACTTAGCAGTATCTTTTGAAACCACATAGAGAGTCCATGCATTCCCCATGTGCAATGCGGCGACTCATCTAGTTCTTCTTGACAACATGACGCCATATCGCCGCGAGAAGCTTTGACGAGTCTTTGGGAGTTCTTTTGAATCCGTTCTTGCGGTCCACATGCGTCACTCCAAATCTAGGGCCGTACCCGGAAAGCCATTCGAGGTTGCTGGAATCTTGGTGAGTCCAGTTCCTTTTCAATCCCTGCAGTACCCTGGATGGGATTTTGGGAAGTGTTCGACTTACTCAAGCAGACTCCAGACGTAAAAGCCAGAGACACGAACTCCGTCTTCTCTGACGACATCACAAAGGATCTTGATGTACTGGTTCAGATACTCTTGACGGGCCTTGTCGTCGATAATTTTGTCGAGAGACATGTGCTGTTCGAACTCGACCGCGAAGCCACATTCTGAGATAACAATGGGGATATTCTTGTCTTTGCAGTATTTGTCCCAGGTATAGAGCAGGATCTTACGGAAACCCCAGGGTACTATTGAGAAGAATCAATGTTAGCGGCCGTCTCTGATGGGCCAAGGGTAAAGCCAAAGGGCAATCAAAGGCTAATGGCCACAAGTAAAAGAATATGTGTGGTCCGACGAGCGATCGGACGATAAGAATACTTTCCAAGGGGATTGAGGTAGAGAATGCGACGAACCGGTATGTGGATGTCCTTCCTCTCCGCGCATGCCGATCGGTTTGCCGTCTTTGACGAAGGTTTTATCGATTTCGTCCATATTGAACCGAGGATCGCCATTGGGTTGGACTTCTTGACCCGTAGCCCACCCAGTGCCGTAGTGGTTGAGGGAGAAGCTGTATTGGAATTTGTCAGTCATGTTTGAAAAAGCCTATGATTTTGGCCGGCCATCGCTCAACCAGTCCTCGGAGAAGAGGAATCTCACAAGTCGGCAGATCCCCTGAGCAGAGCGAGCTCTTCTTGAGTGAGGCGAGGGAAGTCGTCGCCGTATTTATCCCAGGCTGTCGTTTGAGTGCCGAGAACTACCACACGTCAGGAAAGTGGGCAGCGGCTGCGTATGGAAATGGATGATTATACAAATAGGGTCTGCGAACTATTTTTCCCAACGTTAGCCAAAGAAACACGCAAATTCAGTGGTGTCGCCCAAGATATCATCCTTACCCAACCAAAGTCTCTCTCGATAGCTAATTTCGCGTCCTTGACGGCTCGAGGGTCATCGTTGATCGGCTCCACCCACTCGCTATTCTTGAGAACAGTCAATATCCTTGGATCTCTTGGAGTTAACAGAGGTGAGAGCCTTACCAGAGCAATACTGATTAGACCGTTTTGCTTTTGCTGGAATTCAGATCTATAAAGACGAACAATATCGCTGTGGCACAGGAGAATATTGTGGCCAACACTATAGCACCGTAACAATCAGTACCGTCGTCTTCATCGTGCATTCTCTGTTAAGCATAGCTTATCACTGACCGAAAAAAGTCCCGTTTGGAAAAGCCTTTGACGATACCCATCGACAAGAGCGACGGAAAAATCCAAGGCTGGATGTCGTTAGTTCTTCACGTAGCCATTATATGCGCCGTAGATAAATACCTCATTGAAAGTGAGCCACTTTTTAACCCGGTCTCCGAATCTCTCAAAACATAGCTTCGCGAACGACGTATAGTCGGCAATCAGCTCTCTGGGATCCGTGGCCAAGAAAGACCGATAACGTTTATGCAGTTCCAGCGGAACATCAAAATGGAGGATGGTGATTGTAGGCTCGATGCCTGCATCGAGAAGGGCGTCAATCTACAAACCAACATAGATGAAGTGGTTAGAGGCTAGAATTATTGCTCCACAATCATCCGAGAAAAAGGTCACAGCGTAAGGCTCACCAGTTGATTGTAGTACTTGATGCCTTCCTCGTTAATAGAATCGTTTCTGCCACCTGTGGAAGTGAATGTTCAGCATTGGTCCATCCAGGTTGGTGAAGAAGGAATCAGGCTCCTGAGCGTGACAGGGGAAAGGCTTACCATTGGGGACGATACGAGGCCATGAGACAGAGAACCGGTATCCGGAGGCGCGATACTGCTGCAAGAGGCTAACATCCTGCTCCCAGAGCCGATATGAGTCGCAAGCGTCGTCTCCAGTGTCTTGATTTGCTTCCTGAAGGTGTTCGTCCCAGATGGACGGCCCACGACCACCGGCAGTAGCGCCACCTTCGATCTGATATGACGCCGACCTACACCGGATCTGTCAGTCCCAAAAAACTATGATACCTGGGGCCTCACACGGGCATTTTCAAAACCGGGAAGGAATGCCTACGAATACCCGTGGACAAAGTCTTCAGGGAGGACGTCCTTGTATGCGGGATCTTCCGCAATATTTCTGTAAGTTACCATTGCGTCCAGTTTGCGCTAAGCTGAGCAGAACTACGTCGTCGTTATCTGGTTAATGCTTTGGAACTTGCTGCTGCTGCAACCACCTTATCAACGGGGACGGCCTTTTAAACTTGTATTTGACCTAAGTGGACGGGAGAAACCTTTTCGCATGCATCGCGCGTCTCCATGTCCCTTCAGCAGAGCCATCAGGCTCATCCTTGCCTCAGATGAACTGCACAATACATTATTCGACGGACAAAAGCAATCGCATCACCCACTTCACGGGCCAGCCGGACCCGTTGGGCCCGTCGGGTCCGTCGGGGCTGGCAACTGGCTTGACGTGTGATCCTCTGCGAACGCGGTCCCGATCCGCCACGATTCGGAACCAACCTTTTTCATCAAATAAGAGGCAAGGTCTAAGTAGTTCTTTGTAGGTGTGGTAGTGCTTGTACTCCGCACTCCGTAGATAGCCACGACTCCTGGTCAGTAGGGGCGTCCTCGCCAACCCTATTCCGTCCTCTTGGGGAGATCCCTGATGCTGTACCCCAAGATTCGAGGCTTAGATAGCATGATACACCACATGCGCCCACGGGCGAGCTTGTCAAGTTAAGATAAGCGCGACAAGACCACGGGCGATATAAGCATATATATTAAAGCAACAGGTGAATCAGCTTTCAAGCCTCTGCGCATTCTTCTCATCTTCCTCAACTTTTGGATACCTCCAGAGAGTCAAGATTGTAATTCAAAATCTGCACAATTCCCACGGTAGCTATGACGATTACGTTCCTGCAAGGCACCACCAGCAGCGGGTTTGTGTGTATGTGCATCGTTTCGATCGGCGCGGTTCTCTATGTACGACTGCACTCCTTTCCTCTGCACTTGAGCCGCTTACATGATGAACAATGCGTACTGACTCTGATGACTAGGGATTCGACAATGGTTGGTGGGGGACGGTTCTTGGAGCTCATGCGTTCCTTCGAGATTACGGGTCTTGCAAAACAATTGATGGGAAAGAGATTTGCAGTCTTTCGGCGCCGCAAGTCTCCGCTGGAAGTTCAGTCCAGTCAGCCGGAATCAGTATGTCTCTAGACCCCGTCAGCATTTTGGGCCATGCAAAAAGATTGCAAACTGTGTGAAGACTACTGACGTCGGGCAAGTGGTCGGATCAATCGTTGCTGCATACATCAATGAACCCTTCGGGCGCAAAGTGTCTCTCACAGTGACCGCGGTAATATCCATCGTCGGCGTCATCATCGAGCTCACCAGTGCCATTGGCTCAAGTCGCTACTCCCAGTTCGTAGTTGGGAAGACCATTGCATCTATCGCCATGGGCATGGCTCTCAACATTGTCCCTATGTACCTTTCGGAGACGTCGACCGCTGCTGCCCGTGGATTCAGTGTTAACATGTATCAGAATCTGATTCTTGTTGGGGCAATTACTGCGTCAGGGGTTGTCTATGGCACATCGCAGCTCCAGACTGCCGCATGCTATCTGATACCGATCGGTCTTCAGCTGATAGCCCCCACATTCTTGATCCTCCTGACTCCGTTGCTCCCGGAAAGTCCAAGATGGCTAGCCACCAAAGGGTAGGTTCACCAGGTATTGCACGAGATACGCAATCTTTATGCTAACGCGAACCCAGCCGCACTGGGCCAGCCATCAAAGCAGCGGACCGCTTGTTCAAAACAAAAACCAACAACTTTGAAGCCGCTGATTACGTTCATAAGATCCATCTGTCCATCGAACAAGATCGTGCCAATCAGGAAGCGACTGGATGGATGGATCTGGCTAGAGGGCCCAATCTGCGTCGTCTTCTCATTGCTGTTGGTATTCAGTGTATCCAACAAGCTCAGGGCGTGACGTATATCCTCAACTACATCACCTTTTACCTGGGCTACGCTGGTATTACAAACGTCTTCCCATACATCATTAGTGCGTTCTGCACCAACTACCTTGGGGTTCTCACCGGTTACTACCTCCCAGACAGGTTTGGTCGTCGGGTTTTGGTCATCTGTACTTCTCTGGTATGTGCTGTTGCTCTCGTGATCATGTCTGGTATCATGGCCGGCACATCTGGTGGGGCTTCGGGGACGGTTATAGTCGTTCTACTGTTCATATGGATGCTCTCCCTTGGTGCCCAATCTCCACTCATTTGGATCATCACGGCGGAATCAGCTCCTACCCGTAATCGTGAAAAGGTGATTGCCACGGCTGTCTTTTTCGGCTTCGGTACAGCCCTCCTCACCGCTTCAGTTTCTCCGTTTATTGCGGACCCTGGTTACGGAAACCTCGGTGGAAAAATTGTAAGTCCAGCCTAATTTCTGTTTGAAACTACAAAAGATCGAATCAAGTTACAAATTGACACTCAAGGCAACGCTAACAATTGGAAAACAAGGGCTTTCTGTGGGCCGGCTTCTCGTTCTTGTCGATTGTCTGGGTTTACTTCGTCCTCCCAGAGATGAAAGCTCTTTCCCTGGAACAACTCGACTTCCTTTTCAACAACCACGTGCCTACGCGAAAATTCAGCAAATATGTCTTTACAGATTTGGTTCTTGCCGTTCATGAGAAGGATGTCCATGAGACTACCATTGGGAACGAGGACTCCCAGAACCAGAACAAGAACGCGCTGGAAGAAACAGTCGAACTTCGACGTTAGTGAAGCGTACAGCGGGACGCCCGGCCATCATCGAAAAACTTGAGGGGGCTTCATTACTCATGGATATCTTCTGTAGGCAAAGTATTTCCAGGTGGCTTCGTGCGTGAAGGGGTCTAGGATAGCTTGGTCAGCTTTGATGGGCACATCACCCCATGAGGATATCAGAAGCCTAGAAGCTGTGTAAAGACTTGGTGGTTTGGAGGCTGGCTAGAGGAGGTGAGCAGGGTCCTGCTTGAATGTATCAGTCTTCCGTGCGCCCAAGAGTCCTTGATGTATAAAGTCAGGGTCAAGAAGAAGCCTTGTCTCTGTTGAGCTTAGGCTAGGGACACATTCAGCGAGGGAATTGCACCGCAAGAATAATTCATCTTTGCTTGGTAGATACATCATGATGACTATTCTTAATGAAGCTAGAATGCTGGATATTAGGACGTAAACCGTTATATAAAAATAGGCTGAGAGAAGAGAATAGCCACCTAGTATAAAAGCGAGTGATCCGTGACAGACTCAGAGTATCATATAAGTTAGTCTACCTAGACTTTATTCAAATTGGTCTTCCTAGGGCTAGGGACAGATTATCTCTTCTATGCAAAGCTAGTTGGGTGTAGACTGGAAAGATCTGAATTTGTGGTGGCAGAAAGGCACTGGCGGACTTGTCCATCTTGGACTGCACTCCACATCTTTATACCGGACTAAAGGTCCCAGTACTCGAAGTTGAGAACCAAAGACCGAGTTGTCGAATGTGGCGAAAAAGGCTTCGTTCTTCATGAATGTTCCCGTGCGCTCCCAAGCCTTGATTATAGAGTAGTAAAGAGGGGCGACATGTTCGTCACTCGACCAAGAGGGAAATTGGTACTTATCCTGGATCCTCTGGACAACATCATGAGAATATAGTCCAACATCCTCGTCTAGACATGCCATGTCATATGCAGCGAGTGCAGAGTGACCTTTATATGAACCCCCTTTGACATAACGATCACGGACAGCACACATGGCGGTGAGAGCCATTAATGCGCCCGTTGACATGTCAGATAAGGGCAGACTTGGCAGCACACCCTGGCCGGGAGGACATCCAAATGACTGCCCCATGACATATGAGGATCCAGCGGCAGCGTCAGCAACTTGTTGCCAACCTGGGCGCTCGGCATAGCATCCATCAGGACCATAGCAGTTTTCATCAATGTAAATTATGCCTTTGCCGCGTTTGTTCGCGAGCTCCAACGCCGCATGGAGCCCGAATCCGCGCCTCTCGAGAGAGCCCAAGCGATAACCTTGCAAGATTATGTCGGCTTCTTCAAATAGGTGTGTCAGTCTGGCGTGGTCAGCGGGGTTGTTCAAATCTAGATCTATCGTTGTTTTCCCAGCCATCAAAGAAGAAGGTTGCGCAGGCGTATAGTCTTTGAGTTTGGATGAGTTGACCCGGATGACCTCGGCGCCCATGGACGCCAGGAGAGCGCCAGCCGCGGTGCCGGCTATGATTCGGGCAAGCTCAACCACTTTGATTCCCGCGAGCGGTCTCTTGTCGACCGAACTGGGCAATTTGGCAGCCGGTAGAGCAGGACAATAGGTCTGCTGGGAGTAGTTGACCAGAGGATGCCGAGCGAGGCGCTGGCCCATCTCGGTCTCGCGCCAGCCTTTTGGCGAATGTACGATGGAGCCCGATAAGCCGTTTTCAACCATGAGCTGCTCGATCTCTCGTGCACGGTACGTTCTGACATGTTCTTGAATGAGGGCGTACGCTTCGTCGTTTGTCCGCACCTCAGCATCCTTGTCCTTCGGGATGCCGATGAGTTCCAGAAGTTTCCAGGGATCGAGAGACCCGTGCAGCTGAAACCATGTTCCTTTGTTCGCTGTCTCATAGATGGCCGTTGCGCGGTACACAAGAGGTGAATTTGATTGACGATCTTTGTCCCAATGAGGCACAGTGGGCAAACTCAAAATGTCGGGACCGGTGAGACCATTGACAGTCACAAGTCCTGGTGTTGCTGGATACAGACCAGCATGGTCTGTGTTTACATGGGTCGTTGTATCCGTCGTTATACCGCGAATATGCAGAATCTCAAGGCCAACGATGCCAACCATGGCATGAAGAACGGCTGTAATGGCTTGTGATTTGATGGGGCCCGGAATGATTGGTAAATCACTGCCCTCGAAGCACACGCCATCGATAAGTGCTTCATTCTTAGTAAACCAGGGAGTCTTTTCTGCGAGAAGGCGTAAGAGACGCCGGCATTCTTCAGGAACTGGAGCGAAGCTTGTATCGACGAAAGTTCCTGGGCCATAGCCAGCTTCGGATTTCCTGATTGATTCCGGGATCATCTTATCTGCGAAGCAAACGAAGGTATGTCGGACATAGGACCTGGTCTAAACTCCTGTTCGCGTGCTCATCTGCTTAATAAAGCTTTTCAGTTCCTTACATGAACCTAATATAAGCGTGGAAACCTCACCGAGACCGGGGGTATCGGAGCAGCCCGAGAAGTCGGGAAGGGCTTCCGAGTATGGGCCGCCCGCCCAGTACAAATTGAGTGCCTGCTTGGTGCTCCACATCTGGACCCGTCCACTGGCATAGTGAATATATTCGGCATGCTGTATCATTCAGGGAGCCAGATGAACACACAGGGTGTCATGCCAGTTGGACTCTAGATAATATCATCCCCTCGTGCTCAGGATGTCGCAGGAGATTCACATCGTGGCCGTCATCGGTTGCGGAATGATCGGGATGAGCTGGGCGAGCCTCTTTCTCGCCAAAGGATTGAAGGTCATCATTACTGATCCTGCAGAAGGCGCTGAACTAAGGTTCAAGAGATACTTGGACGACGCATGGCCCACTCTCCAGCTGCTCTTCGGGCCAATTGACCAAGAGCTGGCCAACAACTACGAATTTGTGGACGACATCACCCCGAGGCTGGGCACTGTTGATTTCATACAGGAGGTATGCTCAGAACTATGCGGTGTGCCCCTGCGTCCTGCAATTACTGGTGTCTACAATCTGCTGACCCTAGCCGTTCTAGAATGGACCTGAGAATGTAGAGTTCAAGCAGGAGCTGTTCAAAATACTCGACCGAAATGCTCAGTCAGAAGTTGTCATTGCTTCTTCGTCTTCGGGCCTGCCTTCCTCCGCCTTTGTCGGACAATGTGAAAATAAGCCTGACCGAATCCTTATCGGACACCCTTTTAACCCACCACATTTGATTCCACTTGTCGAAGTGGTACCCCATTCGGTTACCAGCTATACGACAGTGTCAAAGGCCCTGGACTTTTATCGATCCTTGGGTAAACACCCAGTAGTTATTCTCAAGGAAGTTCCAGGGTTTGTTGCGAATCGTCTTCAGGCCGCCATAAATGCCGAAGCATACAGCCTGATCAGCCGTGGTATCATCTCGGCCGAAGACCTTGATACAGTCGTGACATCTGGACCAGGACTTCGCTGGGGAGTGACTGGGCCGATAATTACCAATGCACTCGGAGGTGGAGGAGGTCTGGATGGCTTCACAACAAGAATTGAACGCCTAGGTCCTGCTATCCGCAGGTGGGAGGATGATATGCACGAGCATCGTTTTGATTGGAGCGAGGAAAAGTTGACATTGCTGGAGGATGAGGTTAGGAAGTATCTAACCGCTGTGGATTGGACTGAGATGACAAGAAAGCGGGACTTCGTGCTGCTGCAAGCATTACGAGCAAGATTCTAAACCCCTAAGCGAACGTTCTGGATGGAATCTGGAATTCTTGGTTGGCCAGTAGTATAAAATCGGCATTCGATCTATCCTAGCATAACCGGAACCAACAACCGCGGCAAGTCCTATAGCCACCAGATACGACGTTCAGCAGATTTATTTGCTGGAATATTGAATAAACTCCTTGAGTGAGGAGCACAGAATTTGACCGAAGCAGCCAACAATGCGGAAAACGACGCCCCGTGGCATGTAAATCGACTAATAGAGTGATAGTAGTGGCACAGAAGATACTCCAACACCGCAAGCTACTCCGGCGCTGTCTGAGCTCTGAGCTGGAAGGAAATGCTATAGTCATAGAAGGGGTCAGTTTTGAGGTTGGAATGGGTTACCGTTAATTGTGTCCGCCGTCTGATGCAACACTGCAGATCTGGTCGGGGTTGGCTCCATTGGCAAAAAGCCTCTTTTCTTGTGATTGAAATAGAAGCATGGAAATCGAGATGGATCGGGCTTGTGAGTAGTCTCCCTAATTCGTGCATAAGATTACTGGGAGCATTGAGTCAGGCTGTAAGGAAAGTCCGAGGAATTTGGTACTCTGATTGAACCGGACGGCTTGAGGCAGACATGAGTGCAGCTGGTGGCACGAACTGGCAATTTGTTGATTCGAAAAGCCATGATTCTTGGTAGCTCGTCAATCATCCTATGGTTCGAGGTGCTGTGAGAATTTCGACCAGTTCTGAAGTCGCCGAGGACAAGTACTAGAAGGCAGGCCACCTTCCAGATTCCCTTTTCTTCTCAGAGGTGACCATCAATTCCCCACGGGGGCCCCTGCGGTGATATCTTAAGGACTCGGCTGGAAATTGGGCGATGCTTCAGACGTGCCTCAGCATAAACGGAAAGGCTACCGACAGTATTGGCGTCTGCGCCGTCTAACTCTTCGTAATTCCCCGGATCAGGATCTCTCGAACTGTAGTAATTATTTCTTTGTGATGGAGGTCTGAAGATTCATATCTTGAGCTTCGAAGAGCTCCGTAAAAAAGAGCCTCTAGCATGGCGTGGTTAGCAGAAGTAGTGTTTGGCGCAGAAGAAGAAAAACATGACGAGTCCGAGAATATATGGCATAGTAGAGCCCGCAGATAGACTAGGATGGTTAGCCTTGTGCACCTTGCATGATAGCCTGGTATGTGGCCAGGAGGCAGGCCGGTTCTAATATCTGATCTTACATTCTACAGTTGTGTATAACTATACTAGAAGGTTAAATTAGCTGAAGCCAAATTGTGATAGGTTAATCTCATGTTAACTGGCAAGGCTGGCTGACCGTCGGATGTTTCCCCGGTTCCCGCCCGTTCTTTGTCTACTACATCAGCACCTCAGGCCCAGTCCCGCGAATATCTCGATACTATAGAATCTACCAACTACTTTCATCTCCAAAACTGGTTGTCTATTAGCCAGGCTGCGTGAGCAAATCTGTCGGGAAACAGAGCAGTTAATATGGCACCGAAAAGCTGGCTGGATATCCCTCGAGGATCGCATTTTTCACTAGCTAATATTCCCTTCGGCGTTGTAACAACACCGAAATGCAGCGACAGACATGCAGCAATTGCTGTTGGCGATCATGTTCTGGATCTGCACGAGTTTGCTCAGCACCAAGGCTTCTCTGGTCTGGAAGATTCCACCGCTAGCCTGATTGCAAGCTTTTCAAAGCCTGTACTCAATGACTTCGCGGCTCTTGGTCAGGAGGTCCACACCAATGTCCGTCGATATCTACAAGAAATCTTGAAATACGACACCCGATTTCCCTCCTTGCTGAAATCCAATGTCGGAGCAAAGGAGTCCTGTCTATTCCACAAAGATCAAGTCAAAATGCACTTGCCCATGAAAATTGCGGGCTTCAGCGATTTCTTTGCCGGCAAACATCACGCCTACAAGTGTGGTCGTATCCTTAGGGATCCTAGCAAGGCTTTATCGGCTAACTATTTTCATCTTCCCATCGCCTATCACTCGAGGGCTTCGTCAGTGATCGTTTCAGGGACCGATATTCGCCGACCGTTGGGACAATTCTTGCAGAATCCCTCCGATAAAGAGCCGAGCTTCGGTCCTTGCAGTCAGCTAGACATTGAGGTCGAACTGGGAGCACTAATTTGCCGTGGGAACAGCCTAGGTGAGGCAATTGACGTCAACAAGGCAGATGAGTACATCTTTGGCTTTGTTTGTCTGAATGACTGGGGTGCTCGGGATTTCTACAGCTGGGAAGCGGTGCCTCTAGGGGCATTCAATTCAAAATCATTCGCAACCACTATCAGTGCTTGGGTCATTTTAAAAGATGCTCTTGAACCATTCCGTGTCAAGGGCATCGAAAACGACACGAAGCTGCATCCCTATCTCCAGCAGAGAACGGTAGAAAATGTTTATGATATGAAGTTAGAAACTTCAATTCGAGGTCAGTTAAAATTATAGTCTATTTTGATTTAACGAACTACGTGCTGATCTAGAAATTTTAGCATCAAATGGTGATTCTGGAATCTTGTCGCGAACGAATGGACGTTATCTCGTATTCTCATTCGAACAAATGATAGCTCACCACACAGTCAGCGGGTGCCCATTGGAAGTGGGAGACTTAATAGCGTCAGGAACACTTGCTGGTCCCGAACCTGGGAGTTTTGGGTGTTTCCTCGAAGGCAGTAATGGAGGCAAGCAGGGTATTGACATTTCCGCCACAATGAGGCGAACTTATCTGGAGGATGGAGATAGTATCAATATCCGGGGATGGTGTGGCGAGGACGACTTAAGCTTGGTCGGCTTTGGCGATTGTGAAGGAACCATTTTGCCACCTATAAGACCGGCCTGGATGTGATGTGTGTGATGAACGGCAGATTATAGGTTTCAGGATCAGGAGAGGGAGTCCAACATGTCGCTCAATCCTCGGCGGCGAAGTCGAAATCATAGCTGGAGCTTGGAAGCCATAGATGATCAAGCTATAGTAGTCTTCAACTGCGATGTCTACTGTTCTTCGTACAAGATAGTGTAAAAGATACGTATAATTACCACTCCGACAGTACTGTGCGAACGCAATCAATGTTGCTATTCGCATTGCACTGACAATGAAGATATGTTTATCGCATTCTGTCGCACCGATAAACGGAAACCTTACTGCCAGCTTTCCGACCTGAAGTGTCGCCTGGTATCGGAATGGCTGACTGGCGGTCTGTGGCCATCAAGCACGCACTCATAGTGAAGCTTAGAAAAGTTCAAGGTACCCTTCATTACCAGATTGTAACTCTCCGCTTACTGCGCTGATGGATGGATAACATTCACGTCGACCTTATGGAGGAAGTTGTAGTCTCAATGCAAACCAGATATAGCAATAACTAACATGATCTTCACCATGGTAGAAGAGACGCTAGACGTCCATAACCGCGCAAGTCTAATTCCGGCAGGAACACTTCGGTCATCGAATCAATTGATTGCCTAACCTATCTGAGGTTTGAGTCCTTCCCGTGCCCCATGCATAGAGGAATGGAAGACAAAGCCGCATTTCCAGTTAAATCCTTTTCGCTCTCACAGTTGCATCGGTACCTAGGATGTTGTGAAGACCAGCATGTCTAAAGCCTATTTTCCAGTACCTGCCTGATTGCGCGCCCCGAAAAGTTGTCGCTTGGCCACCACCAAGATCTAACCTGTCTACAGTTACACCTTCTCCCTTTTTGGCTCCACATCCACCACCTCAGCTGCTTCGTCTGCATTCAGCACTTCGACCTCCGGTCCGTCAAAGACAAAGACCATCTGTTCGAGAGTGTGACCTCGTGTTTCGGGGTAGCAGAAGATGGCCAGAAAGAGAAACGCAATCAAGAACACGATGAAGATAAAGTAGTACTTCCATCCAATGTGCTCCAGGCCAATGGGGTTGACAAACGTGTTGAAAATACCGATCAGGACGCCTGTCGTCCACATGACGCTGAAACCTCGGTTTCGTAGTCGATAAGGCCAAATCTCAAGACAATATGATATCAGCAAGGGTGTTCTATAACAAGTTAGCTGGCGAAACCCAAATGCGTAGGAGATCGGACATACAGTGCGATATCATAGCCCGCAAAAAAGATAAAAAGGAATGGGATAACGGTGGTCCCCACGGCGGAATTTCCTGTGTTGGCAAAGGAACCTGAAAGCCCAGTGATGATGATGTAGCTTGTGAGCATTACCGCAGCAGAGGTGATAAATAGTGGTCGGCGTCCCAACCTTTCAACAGATGCCGCTGCAGCAACGGCCCAAAGGAGATTCCATATCTGTAGGCATCCAGAAATCAGAGTTTGATTTGTTACGCTGGTGATTCCAACAGTGTCGAGAACCAGGGTAAGATAGTAAGAAACGACTCCATTGCCGCTCCACTGACTGAAAACACCCAAAGAGACGGATATAAGAAGTCGCCATCGATTTCCTCTTGTTTTGAGCAGGTCTAGATAGCTCGTGGTCGCATGTGCTTGTTGTTCGGCTTTGATAGTATTTACTATCTCCTCGGTCTCAAACTTAACTAGTGGGGAGTCCACATCGCCACCAGCGTGATATTTGGCCAGAAACTTGGTTGCATCGTCAATGCGATCCATGGATGCATGCCACCGAGGTGATTCGGGTGCCATTAGCACACCTGGAAGCGCCAAACAGGGGAGTAGGATCTGAACGACCGATGGAATTCTCCAAGCCCAGTTGGTTGAATAGTTCCTTGTTCCGAATGTCACCCACGCTGCAACGATGCTGCCAACGTAGAAGCCACACTGAAAGCACGAGGCCGCGACCGGTCGATGAGTTGGGTAGGCGATTTCATTGATAATGAGAGGTGCTCCGTTCGCAAAAAACCCTGCTGCAGCACCAATTAGGCCGCGGGAAGCAATGAAGCTCCCCCGATCTGGAGCTGCAGTCCCAAGGGCCGTGCCAGCAACGAGAAAGACATAGCCGGCGTAAACACCGGTCTTACGGCCGTACTTATTGCATGCCCAAGAGGCGGCGAGGAAGGCGAGACCGTTGCAGATCCAATAGATTCCGTTGAAGAAGCCAAGCCAGGAGCCGGTAGGGTTCCCCATGAATGAGTTCCAGACGGGAAGAGCTTGAAGTCCATTCATCAAGGAACCATCATAGCCGTTAGACGATGCTGGTACAATCAGTGATTCAGTGGTCAAATAGGTTGATCACAGAACTTACACAGCAGGACTAGAGAGAAGATAGTGAAATTTAGCTTCACCAAATGACCTTTCGTATACCACGGTCGTCCATCAGTTGGCAGTACTGACGCCAGGTGATGGGTAACGGTGTCCGTTTCTGTGGCGCCCATTATTTCGATGACTGGAAGGTTGTTAAAGTGAAAACCTTTCGAGATAGTTGTGGAGAAGAACAAAAAGGATGATGATGGTGAAGATCATGATCTCCTCCGTGTGTCTCGACGGGGGTTTTTATATACTTGGCGGCTATGACTAGCTGGGTACAGAGGATATCAGTCTCCAGGAGACCCTTTCAACGTCTCCGTCCTCATCGCAATAGCCAGTGCGCTCGGCGGAGAATTGGCGGAGAATTGGCGGCGAATTACACAAGTGCAGAGGGGGGAAATAGATAACGGGTGACCCGGGGAGCAACCCGGAAGCGGGAAATAAACCGGCATAGAGATTAGCATCACCAACCATTGCCCCGTACATTCACAAGGATTGGTGGAAACTCTGGCATCGCAAGGCCAACGTCGTTTGAGAGATATCTCTCGACGATAACAGTGAGCAGTGAAGCTCCTGAATGTGCTCGATAGCACAAGGCAGGGTGTTTTTGAGGCTTTCGCTGAGTCCTTCGATCCAGACTACTCGTGTCCGGTCCTTCCTTTCCCAGAGCCATGTATGACAAACTTGCTGTTGATGAATTGCTGCTCAGCCTATCAGTGGATGAAAAAGTATCTCTCACCTCAGGTGTGTACTATAGCGAGAGGTGTTGATTCTTGTTTAATTCCTTGACAGGGAGAGACTTCTGGCACACGACCCCGATCCCGTCTCGTGGTATACCTTCTATACGACTTTCTGATGGCCCGAATGGTATCCGTGGAACGCGGATCTTTGACAGCACGCCCTCGGCCTGCCTGCCTTGCGGAACCGCCCTGGGAGCGACGTTCGATGTAGGGCTGATGATCGAGCTAGGGCATTTACAAGCCGAAGAAGCAAAGGCCAAGGGAGCGGTGGTTGCCCTCGGGCCGACTCTCAATATCCAGAGAGGACCGCTGGGGGGCCGTGGTTTTGAATCATTTTCAGAAGATCCATTGCTCTCTGGTGTCATGGCCGGCCACTACTGTTGCGGCATACAACAAATAAACATTGCCGCCACTCTCAAGCACTTCGTCTGTAATGACATGGAACATGAACGAACAGCCGTCAACGTGCTGGTTACTCAGCGTGCCCTCCGCGAGATATACCTGTTGCCGTTTATGCTTGCAATTTCCATAGGCAACCCCTGTGCCATCATGACAGCATACAACAAAGTCAACGGTAAACATGTTTCGGAGGATTCGGCTCTCTTACGAAAGATCCTAAGGGATGAGTGGGGTTACCAAGGTCTAGTTATGAGTGACTGGTGAGTTCTCTTTTGGTGGATTAATGCTTATGATCCTTTGCATCACTGATTTTATCAGGTTTGGTACCTATAGTACTACAGAGTCGATAGAAGCCGGGGTTGATCTTGAGATGCCTGGTCCAGGTCGATTCAGAGGGCCTGCATTATCCCAAGCTGTGAGAGCCAAGAAGGTCAAGGAGTCACAGCTTGATGATTGCGTACGGAGAGTTTTAAACTTGCTGAACTACTCAACAGGATCTGGAGTTCCAGAGAATGCCATTGAAAAATCGTTGAATCGTGCAGAGGACCAGCTGCTGCTCAGGCGAGCTGCGGCTGAATCCATTGTCCTCCTGAAAAATGAAAATCACGTTTTGCCATTCTCAAAGTCCAAGAAGACGGCTATCATCGGCCCAAATGCCAAAGTAGTCGCTTTCTGTGGAGGTGGCAGTGCGTCCCTGACACCATACTACAGCGTTTCGCCATACGAGGCAATTTCACATCGGTGTGAAAATACCGTGTACAGTCAAGGCTCCAAGGGGTACAAGCTACTACCTCAACTCGGGAATGTTCTTCGGACAGAACAGGGCGTACAAGGCTTCAACTGGAGAGCCTTCAATGAACCTGCGCCGGTGGTCGGCCGGAAAGTGATAGAGGAGCGCATCCTTAGAGATACAAACATGTTCTTCCTCGATTATGAGCATGAAGATCTAGCCCCTATTTGGTATTCACAATCAGAAGGCATCTTCACTCCAGACGAGAGCGGTATCTACGACTTTGGTCTTGCAGTCGAAGGCACTGCAAAACTGTATGTTGATGATGTACTTCTGGTCAGCAACGACGAAAATCAGACACCAGGAGAAACTCTATTTGGCTCGGGAACCATCGAAGAAATCAGCAGCAAAGAACTTACTGCTGGTCAAGATTACCGGATTCGTGTGGAATGGGGGTGCGCACGCACAAGCAGGTTACCACCTTCTGGTTCTGTGGGCGGTAAGCAAGGAGGCTTGAGGTTTGGGGCGTACAGACAGATCGATCCTGTTCAAGCGATTGAAGATGCCGTAGAAGTTGCCAGAACTGCAGATCAAGTGGTTCTTCTTGTTGGTCTGAACGGAGAGTGGGAGTCAGAGGGCATCGACCGTAAGAATCTGGAACTGCCCCCCCACACGGACGCCCTTGTGGCGAGAGTCTTGTCAGTCAACGCAAATACGGCGGTCGTGATTCAGACTGGGACAACAGTTGAGATGCCTTGGATTGATGAGGCAAAAGCTGTTATCCATGCTTGGTTTGGGGGAAATGAGACTGGAAATGGCATTGCTGACGTCGTTTTTGGAGACGTTAATCCAGTACGATTGCATTTGTTGAATATTCTCGAGGTCAAAGCTAACACTGACTCAGAGCGGCAAACTACCTTTATCCATACCACGTCGACTTCAAGACAATCCCACATATCTCAACTTTCGGTCCGAGGGGGGACGTGTTTTATACGGCGAAGATGTATATGTCGGATACCGTTACTACGACAAGGTCAACGTGGAACCTCTTTTCCCGTTTGGACACGGCCTGTCCTACTCCATCTTCAAGCTCCACAGTCTTCATGTTCAGGTGGACGATACCATCAGGCTCTCGTTGCATGTATCCAACTTGGGCTCCTATGCTGGGGCTGAAGTTGTCCAAGTCTACGTTGCGCCAAGATCGGCCTCCATTGAAAGGCCTGTCAAAGAGCTCAAGGGGTTTCAAAAAGTACACCTCCAATCTCAGGAAACACGGCAGATCGTGATAGAAATGAATACGGTGCTCTCAACGAGCTACTTTGATGAGACTCGTGACCAATGGTGCAGCGAGGCTGGGGAGTACAATGTGTTGATTGGCACCAGCAGTGCCGAGACTCCTCTGCAACACTTATTCAAGACGAGTAGGACGAAGTATTGGTCAGGTCTGACGCCCTAGAATCAATCAAGGATGCACTCCTCGCAGTGCCAGATGCAATGTAACAAGCGATCAACAGCTTCAATTGATGCGGTGTATCGAGATACAGAAGTGTCAAGCCATTGGGACCTGTCCAAGGAATGGTATAGCGAGGGAAATCCCTACAGGTGGCGCGCTATAAGCTACGGAAACTAGGACTTCAGAGCGTGTTGCCGCTAAATCTAGATCGCCAGATTAGGATTTTTCAGTAAGATTCAAAATAGGCGCAGTGAGTTTAGCATAGTCTCAATGCATTAAAAAGTAACACTTCGTACGTGAGCCGAGGCCTAAAATGAGCCAACGAGATGGCTTGTCTACAGTCCCCGTTACCGGCACACACCCGCAATGGCGCATGTCTGAGGGGTGCCCCGGGATTGTTATCGGTTACGGCTCAAGACTCTTATCTTGACCTCGAAACTCTTATCTTGACCTCGTCGCCCGATCACAGAGGGAAGACCCGTATAATGCCGGGGCTGCCATCAAGCTTTACTTCGATCGTGCTCCCGTACCTCAGAACCAAGATTTCCAGAGGAAGCGCTGGATATGGATGCGAGTCAGAACTCTGCAGTACCGTCCCTTGTTCCGAAGCCAGACACTAGGGCTTCCACGCACCAAGCCTGCGATGCTTGTCGCCACAGAAAGCGTAGATGCAGTTTTTCTACGGCGAACAGTCCGATATGGAATTACACAGTACCATCATCAGAGTCAGCGACGAGGTGTAACAATTGTGAAAAATGGGGCTATCGGTGTACATTCCTTCTGCCACTGAGGGTTCGTGGCCCGAAGAGGAAAACGAATCACCACCCTCTCGTAAATCTTTCAGCTTCGTTGAAAAACGAGACGAATGCACAAACTTGCGAGATTCTTCCAGCTTCGTTGAAGGGCGGGGGGGAAGTAGAACCTGATATGTCAAACAGTCAAAGCCCGTTCTCACCACGCTCATTACTGAGCCTTTCTTCTCATGGTAATGAGGATTCGGCATGGCTGATGACGACTGCACTTGAGACAACCTCTCCCACATGGGATAGGCCGACATATCCAACCGACCTACTATGCCCGCGAAGCCTAGTGCTCTACATTCTTTCCGACTATCTAAAGTACGTCTATCCGCTGCTTCCTGTGGTACATCGGCCAACATTTGAGATCAATCTCAACGACAATCGTGATCAATTTGATGAAGAATTCTTTTCCTTGATCATTTCTTTATGCGCTGCCACAGTCGCACTTCTACCGTCCAGATTCCAGTCATACCTTGATTTCATGGCGCCCTTACCATTTTCCACGCGCACAGATATGATCAGTCATTGTTATAAGATCCATCAAAGCTTCAAAAACACACGATATTTCGACACAATCAGCCACGGGAAATGGGCAAGTACCTTTTTGTTGTCAATAGCATTCCAGCAGGTGGGGAATGCCAATCTGTTGCGGATGCTGGAAGTTGAAGCTATGCAGTTATTGCGAATGCTAGAAGTTCAATACGTCTCAAGCCATACGAGCCTCAACGCTGTTGAGGTCCAGCTACGCAAGAAAGCGTTTTGGCTAATGTTTTTTGGCTATGTTCATAATACTCAGAATCCACGCAATGAACGACTGAGCTTTCTGGACCCTGAGATCCTACATAGGATCTGCGTCGAGGAGCTCATCCCTGCTCCTGTTGACGACGAATTCATCACTACATCTGGCATACTTCCGTGCGCCGAGGCCTTGGAGACCGGATCATTGACGGCAGGCTTCAATATAAATATTCGTCTCTTTTGTGCTGCCATCGAACGCCAGCATACATCCTGCTTCTGCTGCTCCAACGAAGATGCTAGGGTGCGTCTGGATTCGCTCAACGATCAGCTACACAACGTCAAATACATGCTTGACACTTTGATGCCTCCTCACAGCCCTTGGAATAGAAAGGTCACCAATGGAGACGAAATAGAAACCATTCAACGTGAGATACTTCTGGCTAATATTCATATTACACATTTATGGGTCCAGAGTGCGATCCTTTGTCAGATTGATGCCATCTTAAGCGAGCAAACAGGGTTACCATATCCGCCAAAACTTGATCGGACAGAGCCTCCGGAAGTTACAATAAACTCCACGCTGTGGTTGTGGGATAAACAAGAGGATGTTTGTCGACAAATGTTGCAAACCTTGCGTTCATTTTCTCTGTCAGCTCTAGAGCCAAACGGAATCTCAGTGGTTAGTACGCTTCAGATCTCGATTGCGAGTAAGCATTCTCTGACTTCTGCTTCAAATACACAGGTATACAAAGCCCGGGACATGGCTGTTCCGCTACTTGCTTGTCCATTCGATGCCGATGACAAGCGAGGGCGACGGGCAAGGGAGTTTCTGCGCGAGTTTTGTAGTTTCTTATCAATTTTGGATGGTAGCAAAACTGTCCACACAGCAAGTCTGCGGAGTTGGGTCGATCTGGGTCAACAAAGGTCGTCTGTCTCGCCTCCTTGAGCCATGACACGATAGCGAAGGAAAGATGCATATTTTGCAAAGACACAGCAATTGGCAATATAGCCACAAACTTATGAAAAGCACCCGGCGCCCTAGAAAAGTCACCATCAAGCTATATGTACTATTTCCCCTCAAGCATTGTCCCTTGTGACATCTTTGTTGTCATGTACCAGGATTCGCAGGGAAGAGCAATGTGAGCCAGGCCAATGTGTGGGAAGCAGTCAATTGCAACGTAACAGGAAAATGCTCATACTGCTGTAACGCCACTTCGGCCCTACCCAGTGGTAGAGCGAAGAAACCAGTAGACTCTACGAAGGATTGCTCTAGCCCACCAACTGGGCGAATTCCCTCCATTGTTGATCGTTTACCAGACCAACAAAATCGTCCATGAACGTGCTTGCTGCGATATGCATGTCTCCCTTGTGGTTTTTGGGCATGATGTACGTCAGGTCAGGAACACCAGGCAGACGAGCTCGTCTCACAAAATCAACCGTGCCGAGTCCCGGACCAAAGTCACAATTCGACAGCCAGTGCAGCTGGGCCCATGATGAACATATGAAATCTCTGCCGGGTTTGGCCTTTGCTCCGTAAAATATGGTCGATTTATCCTCGGTGGATTTAATCAGTGTGGCCAAGCTGCGCACAAAGTGATCGTCCACCTCACGTAACGACTTTCTAACCTTGACCGCCAGATCGGCAAACGACGACTCGCAGATATCCTGAGCTGTGGACCACTTTGTGTCGGCGAGAGAAACAAGGTGGCCCAGATAGCCGTCAGGTACGGGGGGTTTCAGGATCGAGCGCGAGTCGACTGCCCGGTACAGATGAACCTCCTCGTCTGGCGCCACTCGCCCAGCAGCAACGCGAACTGCCGTGAGACGTTGAACGAGGAACGCCGTTAAAGCATCATTGGTGGAAACCCACTCACTCCCACTAGATGCAGTCTTTTTGAGCTGGGCTAAACCCTCGCCCGTAAACCGCCAGTAATTCCAGGGCAACGCCCTGGGGGGACCAGCAGTAGTCTGGGAGGGTGTGAGAGTCGATGGCCGGCGCATAACATCGTGAGAGGCAGAAGCCTCTCCAGGTTTAAGAAGTGGTACGATGCTATCCGCGTCGAGGTTTTCGGCCGCTAGTAAAGTAGGGTCGAGCTCGTCTCCTCTCCCAGCGGCGGCAAACATCTTCAAGACGGTACCTTGTCCATTCATATCCAGGGCGTTGTGCATGCAAGCAAAGCACAGCAGCAGCCCACCCTTGACAAAGTTGGCCTGGACTATAAAGACCGGAAACTCGGTTTCTGGCCCGTACGCGTATCCCATACCCTTCATGGGGCACAGAATATCACCATCCAGCATGAAGAAGGGAGCGTCAGCTTTGAGGATCTCATCGTAAGAAGGACAAAGGTCACTGCAGTCCTTTCGTCTCACAGGAGATTTGTTCTCATGAGGTGGGTACGGCACAATTTCGTAGGTGCCTGAGTTGGTGGCTGTCCGACCTCGATTGACCACCTGTCCGGCGAGCGAAGGGTATGCAGAGAGCAATCGCAATGCTGCAGAGTCCAGGGTCGAGAGGACCTGATCGCGACTCGATCCCTGCCGGTCTGGGAATCCCAAAAGGATCAATGTGTAGGTGTCCCAGCATAGCTGACCAAAAATGCCGGGTTGTCGCAATTTCGCGGTCATATCTTCGGCTTTGCTAGCACAGGGGAAAGTAATCGAGACAATCCGAAAGCCTCCTTACAGGCGGCATACATGTGTGTGTTCGTCCTTTCAACGGAACTCACAATTAAGCAATATCAAAGCGGTCCCACAGCTTCTTGTAACCAAGTGACCTCTGAAACCCAGTTACGGAGCAGAGTCAATGATTTTGGAGACGGTTTTCAGTGTGGCTAAGGTCATCGATGACATGTGGAGTTGACCTTCGGAAAGCTCCTTGCAAATCGGAATCTTCACACTTATCTGTCGATTGTGCCTAGACCCCAGTACAAAGAACCCGTATTTGCCCCGATATACCCTTAGCACCAAGGCCATGGTCGCACAGGGCAGATGGTAATTCTCCGCAGATTCAATTCGGCAACGCTCTACCAGCGATAAGAGCGTTGGCTTCCGCGGTGGCGGGCTATACTTTATCGGGATGCATGCAACCGCAACAGCTGGGTATTGTACGATAATGCCCGCTCAATTTAGAATGATCGGTCACCGGATGATTGACCCAAGGAAGAACGCCATGAAGGTAACTGGGGCGCCTGCTCAGGTGTCACTTTTTCCAACCCTGCCGAAGCCTATCGTGGAATTCGAGGCCGGGCTTCTCAGCCCTCATCGGCAGCGAGATGCCCGAGCTTGGTGGGCCTGCCCGCCCAAGGAGTAGTCACATAGCTGAGTCCACATCTTGACCACCATGATTCCAGCCCATACCATGCGAGATTCACTCAGTGTATGACAGATCAGAATCACCGCCTCTAAGTCTGGCACTGTTAAATCGCCTTACTCAGAAAGTTCTTGTGAATCATGCAAAGACCCTGGACAGAGGTCGCCAAAGCAAAGCGTGAGGAACGACAAGCACGCATTTGCAATCACTCCCAGCGGCTAAGTGATTCCGATACCCAGGCCCAGATCACCCGAATAGATAGTGTGAAATTCTTAACAGATCAGTTGGAAAAGGGACATGTCTCAGCAGAAGAAGTTGTCGTGGCTTACGTCGCCAAGTAGGTACAGACACCCTCTACGTTGTTGAGCCTATACCTAATCACAGTTTAGAGCCTGCAAGGCGCAAGCAGAGGTACGCTGTTGCGACTCAATTCTGCTCAGATATGGTTAATTGACTCAGTTTAGACGAATTGTCTTACGGAAATCTGCTTTGATGATGCCATAGCACAAGCAAGAGAGCTTGACACATTCCGGAAAAATGAAGGTCGTTTGAAAGGCCCTCTACATGGTGTCCCGATGTCGTTGAAGGACCAATTTAACGTCAAAGGCTACGACTCAACACTAGGCTACGTTGGCAGAGCTTTCAAGCCGGCCGCTTCTGATGCTCTTCTCGTCGAGGTGCTCAAGGAGCTAGGTGCTATCATTATCGCCAAGACAAACCTGCCCCAAAGTATCATGGTGAGTTCTTTCACGATGTGACTGATTGAATGCATTTTGACATCAGTAGTGGGCGGAGACAGAAAATCCTCTTTGGGGTTTGACAACCCATCCTAAAAACCCCAGATTGACGCCAGGTGGCTCTTCTGGCGGCGAGGCAGCACTATTAGCCCTCCAAGGGTCACTGGTAGGCTGGGGGACTGATATTGGAGGCTCCATCCGCATTCCGAGTCACATGAACGGGCTTTGGGGCTTCAAACCCAGTGTAAGTCTGACCAAGCGCTCTCATTGTTACGAATATGAGACTGACAGCCTTTCAAAAGAGTGGAAGAATGTCATACCAGGGGGTGGAGGTTTCTACAGATGGCCAGCAACATGTACCTTCGGCGGTGGGTCCAATGGCAAGATCATTAGAATCCATAATCATCACCACAAGAGCAGTTCTCAACAGCAAACTCTGGAATATGGATGCTCAGCTACCACCGATTCCCTGGGCCCAAGATGTTCTTGAAGATTTCTCGCAGAAGTCACTGGTGATTGGTTTGATGTTGGATGACGGGACTGTGAGAGTACATCCTCCCATTGCTCGCGTTTTCCAAGACCTTATTGCAAAGCTGAGGAAAGCCGGCCATGAGATTGTCGACTGGGATACGTCCTTGAACGCTGAGTGTGTCGGAATCCAGGTACGATGACCACTTGGAGTAGTAAGAAAGTCTCTGACTATAGCAGGATCGATATTATACTGCAGATGGTGGCGAAGATATCCGCAGAGCCGTTGCTGAGGGCGGAGAGCCATTTCTCCCTCATGTGGAGGCTTTGGTCAATCGTGCACCAGCCCTTTCCGTCTATGAATACTGGCAACTGAACAAAAAGAAGGTGGCTGCGCAGCAATCATATCTCAGACTATGGAGCGAGATCCAAACTCCATCAGGACGTCCAATAGATGTTCTACTCGCACCTACCTTTCCTCACACAGCGGTACCACATCGAACACTTCGTTGGGCTGGTTACACCAAGCTTTTCAACCTCTTAGACTACTCTGCATTGTCATTCCCGGCGGGTAAAGTCACCAAAGGCCTGGATCCAGCTGTGTTGCCAGAGTATGAGCCACGCAATCCTATGGACGCCTGGAACTGGCAATTATACGATCTTGACCTGATGGAAGGTCATGACATAGGCTTGCAGATCATTGGCCGGCGCTTAGAGGAAGAAAAGGTCTTAGGGGCAGCGTTACAGATTGAACGGCTACTTAAGAGTCCGTCATAGCAGGAACCTATGTTTATAGTGTAGGGACGAGTTGTGCAATTCTGCGAAGTGTATCCTTTTCTTGCCTCGTGAAGTTAGGCATCCTATAGAAAAGTTTTTTCAGGCCATTTTATTATATGTTGGTTGTTAAAGTGCTTAGGCGTGAAACTTTGCCTCTGACGCCCGACATGGGACCGTTTTGTCACCACTTATCTTGCATTGACGACTTACGGAGCCAACCATGGGTTCGTGCAGACCTCCGGATGTCGGGATGACTGGCTAGACGTGCCGAAATCGTCCGTTCGCAGCACGCGGTCCTCCCCTCACGTTGTGGAGCTTGTGGACGTCTATAATCTCCCTTCACAGGTCTCGATATCAATGTTTCATCCTTTGTCAGGTCTAATCGCATTCTCCTCCCTTGTACTATGGGCTATCAGCGGGAGAATTATATCTTCAATGCGTCCCAGCTGGGGTACATTGAGGGTTTGACCATACTTTCGAACGACAACCCTGTCCTTCGCTATTTTGGTGGCATACCTTACGCCTTGCCTCCCATCGGTCCCTATCGGTTTCGGGCTCCTCGAAAGCTCCCACCTCTCTACAGATACGGCACTAAGGCAAACCCTGGACGCTTCACAGGTAGTGCAGCGACATGTCCGCAGCCCCCAAGCCGGGTACCGCCTGACCCAGCCCTCTTTGATGAGGATTGCCTGCAGCTTAATATTTGGCTGCCTGCTAACGGACCGCAAGAAGGGCTGTGGCCGGTACTGTTCTACCTCCATGGCGGCTTCTTGCAGTGGGGAAGTCCCAACTGGGGGCCCGAGGCCCTAGTGCGACTGATCAGCGAGTCTGCTTTCCGTGGCATTGTTGTTATGCCGGCATATAGACTTAATGCGCTCGGCTTTCTGACGGGGAAAGAGCTTGCTGACGAGAGCCAGGGTGGCATTCATGGCCCATTAGGGAACATGGGCTTTTGGGATCAACGGACAGCTTTAGAATGGGTCTCCCAGAACATTCACGCCTTTGGCGGAGATTCGAACAACATCACCGTTGGTGGGTACTCAGCTGGTGGACTTTCAGCCTTTCAGCAGCTGGCGTACGAACTTTACCAGAAGCCAGATATCGAAGCAATAATCAGAAGGGTCTTTATGCTATCGAATAGCCCTGGTGTTGAACCCAAGCCTCTGTCAGATCACCAAAAGCAATTCGACGAGTATATCTCACGACTTGGTATTCCGCTCAACTTGGACCCTGCTCGCAAACTAGAAAGACTGCGAGCGCTTCCTTACCAGAGGTTGGTAGATGTCCAGAGTGAAATGACGACATCTGAGTTTCGAGCACTGGCTGATGGCCATTTCTATCCGCGAGACCTTCGCGGCAATATTAACAACGGTGACTTCGCAAAGCGGATGAAGAATCGCAATGTTAATTTGCTGCTTGGCGAATGCAAAGAAGAGCACGCTTCGTATCGAGGCTGGCGTACGCCGGAAAATACTTACGCAGGCCTATACAATCGCCTTAGTGGAGAATATTCCGAGGGAGTGGCTCAAAAGCTCATGGAACATTACTGCAAACCCATGCAGTCCCTCCCATCTTCTTACAAAGATTGGCAAGACCTCTTTGGTTACATCTATGCGGACATCCAAGTCTATCATCTCCAGAGAGGATTCTTAAACACACTCTTCAAAGGCGGTCTAGAACCAGGCAAAGATGTACTCCGATATCGTTTTGATCGACGGCTGGGCTGCGTTGATGAGATAATGCCTATTGAGTGGGGAGTCACACACGCAACCGACGTGCCTCTATGGTTTTGGGGAATGAACTTATCGAACGGTCTGACAGAACAGGAAAAGTCCTGGTTGGATGCTTGGAACAAAGATTTCGCTGCCTTCGTGGATGGGAAGCCAGTAAGATGGGGGCCAAGGAAGCCGAAGGAAATGAGAAGATGGAGGAGCGATGGTGGAACGGATATTTGGGAAGATGACAGGTGGGAAAAGGGTCTGGAAGTCTGGGAGCTATTGAACGGCGGACATTGATAATGGGCCACGGTTGTTTACAGCTTAGTCTACCAGTACAAGCGTATGCACATTTTGTCCAAATATCCATGAAGCCTGTACCCATGCGCCTGCAGAGTAAGGTTGTGTCGGAACATAGACCACACTCTCCTCGTATAAAAGCAACCTAGAAATTGTACGGGGCGCAGGACCCCGATTTCCTAGACTCAACTCAGTCAGCGTACACTCCCGAACCAGCCGACTATGCCGAGCTCTGCCGCGAGCTGCCGTGAGCTGCCGCAATCTCGAATTCAGTCTTTAGCCTAGCCTATCACTCTGTGGAAACTTGGGGTTAAAAGTACTAATTTCTCTCAGTTTCGTTTGCCAGAATTGCTCGTTTGGACAGTTTGAATCAAATCTCAAGCCATGACTACCACCGAGGATCGAGTGCTTGCAAAGCCGGCAGAGCTTTGTTGCATCAAAGGCTCCATTCATTCTGGCGAGCAGAAAGGGACCATCGAAAGCATTAATGGGGTCGACACATACGTATCCAGGCCCAGTCCTGAGAACGCAAACAACAATGTCATCCTCTACTTTCCAGACGCATTTGGTCTGTATATCAACAGCTTCCTGATCATGGACTCGCTCGCTGCTTGCGGCTACCTCGTTTTGGGAGTTGACTACTTTCTTGGGGTGGGACTTCTAGGAAATAACACACGTTACATATTTGCTTACTCTTATTCAGGACGCCATCTTGAAGTATTCCAAGACCCCTCTCAATGATCCCAATTTTGACTTCCAAGCCTGGAAGGGGAAGCACATGAAATCTTCTCATGAAATCGGTGAACGATGGGTCAAGGATGTAAAAGCTATATATGGCAAAGACGACAAAACCAAATTCGCATGTGTGGGCTATTGGTACGATCATTACAATACGCTCTTAAAGTCCAACACAGGACTCTTAAAATGTACTAACTAACCTTTGTGAATAGCTGGGGTGCGCAATCTGTCTGCAAACAGTTGTCCAAGGATGGCATCTGCAAGGCTGGCGCTGTTGCTCATCCGTCTTTCATGATGGAGAGTCATATCTATGGCGTTGAAGGTGAGTTGGACAGAGCATAAGCCTGTTATATTCGTGCTATCAAGGCTAACCGAGGGTAATAGAGCCTATTTTCTTCTCGGTTCCCAACACCGACACCCTCTTTTCGCCCGAGTCACGCAGCAGAACGATTGAGATACTGACGGAACGCAATAAGGATTTCAACCTGCAAATATTCTCGAAGGTCACCCACGGCTTTGCTGTAAGATCCCCGTTCCACGGATGACTAGACTCCGTAATCGTGATTCTAAAGATGTTTTCAGGCAAGAGCATTCCTTGAAGATCCGTACGAAAGGTGGGCAAAGGAGCAGAGTTTTAGGAGCTTCGTAGACTGGTTTGATCATTGGCTGTCGAAGGAGTCAGCGTGAAGCGCATATGAGTCTGAATGTATCTTGGGTGTTGTCACAGAACATCATTTAAATTGATCGGAACAAGCAACAAGGGCAGATGCCATGTGATACGATATGGCCACCAGGCTCAGCAGCCTCGGCAATGGAATGGCAATGGCCGTATTCCAAAGATAAGTAGATATCCACAGAATTCCAGATCGCAAAGCTTTGAGGCCACTCTGAAACAATCTATAAGTTCCGCAGAACATGTATGAACTATTTAACGGACTTTCTCAGTCGATCTCTCTCTTCACGGTTCTCTATGCTCCTCCTCCGAATCCTCTCGACGTCCCCAAAGACTTCGCTAACTAACTCTTTCTTATTGACCTTACCCATTGCATTACGTTTGATCTTGCTCACAATCTCCAGATCCTGAGGGATTTTGTAAGCTACCAAGCGCTCTTTCAGTGCCTGCCGCATGTCTGTCAGACCCCATAGCGTCTGGTCTTTCTTGCAGTCGTCCGAAAGCATGACAATGGCCACAACCTTTTGTCCCCAGCTTTCTGAAGGCAGGCCAACAACCGAGCATTCGTGAACTTGTGGAAGACTCAGCAACTCGCGTTCAATCTCCAGAGCAGAGACTTTCTCCCCGCCAGTCTTGATGATGTCGGCGCTTTGGCGCCCTTGGATGAAGTAAGCTGGCCCACGAGCCCATGAACCTGACTTTCCTTCTCCGGAGCCAGGTACTTTCCGGCGTATGGCAATATCTCCTGTCTTGAACCATCCGTCTTCTGTGAACTCTTTCTTTGTCGCAGCAGGATTGCGCCAGTATCCACGGAAGACCGTAGGACCGCGCAATTGGATCTCCCCTTGACGCTCTTGCCCGGAAACAGGATCGATTTCTTCACCCGGGGCAATGACCAAGCCATCTCCTGAGCCCGAACTGGCTTCCCATAGGCGCACCTCCACGGATGGAAGCGGCCAGCCGACAGCTCCTTGGATACGATCCGACTCATCAAGGCCACAAGATAGTGCCATACCAACCTCAGTCATACCGTAGCGTTCGAGAAGGACATTACCTCTAGAAAGCTCTGTCCATGCATCAAGTGTAGGCTTGGGTAATGCGGCAGACCCAGACATATTTAGTCTTAGATGATGCCGAGAAATTGCCGTTCTGGCAGCATCCTGAACTGTAGGCTTCAGCTTTGGAAACAGCTGTAATAATCGTGCCCAAACTGTGGGTACAGCTGTAAGAATGGAGACGGGAGTTTTGGAATCGTGCGGCTTAACGCCAGAGGTTCCGGCAGGAACAATCGGCGTCGCTTGGAAAGGCATAGCCAAACGTTCCCATACAGCTTGAGCATCGAACGGATACAAAAACTCGACGCTGCTTCCTGCAAGCAATGGCGTCAAGATGGCATTGACGATCCCATGGATATGGTGCAGTGGTAGGACGTGCAGCAGATGGTCTTCTTGTGTATATTTCCAAGCAGCCAGCAGGCTCTGTGTTTGAGCAGTCAAGATAGCGGTTGATAGCAGAACACCCTTTGGTCTACCTGTAGTCCCCGAGGTGTACAGCATGATGCCTCCATCGCTAGAGCTGGCGGGGTGTACCAAGACAAGCTCCTGGTCCTCGACAGTAGATCGATCCAGGTCACTCATATCGTGAAACAAGGGTGTATTCTCTAGGCCATCTTGCAACGCGGCCTTGGCTTGCTGTCGATACTTGTTAGAGCTCAGTAAGAGAAATGCTCTGCTGTCATTAAGAATGTGCCTCAATTCAGACACTGGAAATGACGGCGCCAATGGTACAGCGATGGCACTCGATGCCAAAATAGCGAGCAGAGTGACTGTATGCAAATATCAAGTCAGATTCTCTCGTAGTTAGGGTTAGGAAACATGCGCAAGGGCCAATATTTCAGGGCAGTGTCCTTACCGACATATTCGTACCCATTTTCCAGGAGGAAAGCAATCCGCTCGCCTGCAATTGTGGTTTCACTTTTCCCTGTAAGGCGCAAAAGCTGCTCTTTGATACAGGCTACATCGCGGAGCAGCAGACCATAGGAGTAGGTTGATCGGGAATCGTGATGGATGATGGCCGTAGAGTTGGAAGGATGGCTTAAAAGTGCCTCCAAGAGAACCGAGCGCTGGAGGCCGACTGTCATTGCGTAAGATCAAAAAGATTGCGCAGGAACAGGAGTGGGCAAAGCGTATGCCCCAGGGATGGGGGTGTCGTCTATCTATTGAACAATACTTGCTAACACTGCTGGACGGCTGAGGATAGCTTGGGGTAAAACCTGGCCGAGAACACTGCGCTAATTGCCCGTGGGCAGCATAAGCGCAACGTATCTCATCATGAGTGAACATCCCGAGCGGCTGATTCACATACATCTGTGCAGTTTGGCCGTCTTTGCTGGTGTGTCCCGGTGCACAGAAATAATGGCTTCCGGGCCCCGGGATCCTTCCCGGCTTGGGGGAAGGTGGACCTTCGGCCTTATCTCAGCAATCCTCCCTGAACTCTAAAGGCTACAAAGTCAAAGGGACTCTGCCATCGGAGGGCATATCGAGATGGCGGCTTAAGCCATACCAATGGGAATGCTCAATGTCGTCAGGTCCTGAAATCAATGTAATCAAGCGGAGCCCGCGCCAAGTCCGATGCTATTGATTTCCACACGTCTCTTGATCAGGATGAGAACAGGTTTGATGAGCAAAAAGACTACTTCTTATTGACGACTTCGTAGTCACTGAGAAAACCCCATAGGCTCTTTTGCTTCCAGCCCTTTGCCAACCAATCATTTGCAGATTTGGGGTAGAAATCAACGACATCAAGAAGACTATTGTCGTGGGCAATAACTGGAAAGATATGTTCATATGCATCAAACTCTGTCAGCTTTTCGATGGTGAGTGTGGCTTCCTGAGGGTTATAATGCCAGGAGCCCGGGGCGGTTGTAGGATTGTTGAACGGTTCAGTGCGGCTCTTTTTGGGGTGAAGGGCGACGAATATCTCGCCGGGGCAGCTAAGCAGCGGTTCTTTGACAGGATGAAGATGAATGTTTGCGGGCAAAGGTAGATATGGTGTTGGACGAAATTCCCCCCCGTGATGAGCAATGTCGCCACCCATGAAAATAAAGGTAGGAGGGTCAGCAGTGGTGCGAGCAAGAGCCGATAGATGGCCAACCGTGTGGCCAGGTGTGCTCAGAAGATAAAAACTCCCGTCTTCGTAGAGATCCAGGGCATCGAATTTACCAATCTTGAGTCCCTTGCCTTCCTCGACAAAATTGATTTCCCGTAACTCTCGATCTGCCCACAGCCGCTCGTCGATATGGGAGTCAGTGATAGTGGGATATCCCGGTGTCAAATTGGCTTTAAAGCCAGGCCCAACTATCAAGTCTGTTGTCCCCGGAAAATTTCCAGGATTTCCCGTGTGATCGAAATGCCAGTGAGACCAGACGATGCCCCCAATATCGGCCAAGTTTACCCCATTCTCGCTTAAGATAGTAGCAGTGTCTTTTTTAACCTCGATACTGTGCTTCCCCTCTTTGATAGCTGCAATAAATGCCGGTGGAGAGTTCGTCTCCCAATCATGACGCACACCGAGATCGAACAGAAGAGTGTCGTACTTGCTACCACTTTTGGCATGTTCAATGAGAAAAGCGTATGAACCGGCCTTCATTTCGTGATGGCCAGGCATCAAAGGTTCCAAGAAAGTCCACATAGGAAAGTTCGACATCCAGCACGCTGTGTTGATGACAGATACTTTGACAGTGTTTGGGGAGTCGGGAATGTGCAAGTGAGGGGGTTGTTCTGGGAAAGCCATGGTTGCTGGAAGGCCTGGGAATTTGACACTGGACAAGGGAAACAAGATCAAGTGTCTAACTCGGCCAGTGTTGTGATATACATATATGTAAACACGTATGTAGCCAGCTTATCTCTTCTCCCTTGCTTATCTCCTCTGACTTGCTTATCTCTTCCGGTCAATCGCCCGTTCCCTCCATCCACTCCGAGCTTCTGGGGCGGGGTCGAGACCGCAACAGTCTTCTCCGTACTCCGTCTCGTAAGCGTCCAAGCGGAAGCCGGGTGAGTGCGGAGAGTTCGGTATCGAGTTTCAGAAGGCGGAGATCTGGCACCACACGAGACATTACTAGAATGGAATTAAGTAGCAGCTTCTGCCTATCTTAAGGACCTATGAACAAAACTCTCAAATGCTTCTCAATTCTACCATATCAGACTTGGGACCAAAGTTTATTTTCCTTCAGTACGGCCAGGGCTTTCTGCGCATCCGTGTCGATATCGTGAAACCATAGCCAGTCGAACCATCCATTTTGTAGCTTAGCAAGGATTTTGGTCATATCGCTGCCAGTCTCTTCGTGCTGGAAGAGAAGCATACGGCCAACTTCAGCAGCACGTTGAAGCTGAAACTGCGCTCGTGGTCGTCGTACCGAGTCGTAAGCAGCAAGAGCGGCATCAATTTCTGGTGCCAGGCTTGCAGCGCTCCTGGGGAACTTGGCCACTTCCGCAATGACAGCAGTCAGGACCCAAGCGTCTTCCAAGCCTTGAGCAGCCCCGGCAGCCTGATACGGCAAGGAGGCGTGGGCACTGTCGCCAATAAGAGCCACGCGACCACGGTAGTATGTTGAGGTGTGCAAATGATGGAACAGACCCCATTTGATGGGTGGAAATTTCGAGAGGAGCTTTGAGAAGCGCTCATCTATGCCTTCACGTTGGAAGTCGGCCATCATGGACTCATATGAAACCCTTTCTGTTACAGCATTCTTCAACTTCCATCCTTCGTGGTCCACAACCGTCATCATTGTATTGTACTCCTATAAATTCAAACGCCATTAGCGGTGCCTGCTTAGGTCGGAGAAGTAGACGGGCAAGGAAGACCTTACCTGGCCACCAGTAATTCGGTAAGTAATAGCGCATCGTTCATTACCGAAGAACTGTTTTGCAACATCGGCGTGCTCTCCCCAGATCTCCTCGGCTTCCGAAATGGGGATCACACCACGGTAGCAGTAAGTCCCTGTGTACAATGGGGCAACCTGATCGGGGTACTGGGGAGAGAGTACATGGGCTCGGACAGTACTTTGGATGCCGTCGGCGCCAGCTAGAATGCTGGCCTCGGCAACCTCACCATCGGCGAATTTGAGCACCACCTTGTCGGGATGTTGCTCAATTTCTGTCAGGCGTTTGTTGAACTTTACGTTCTCGATGGGAATGAAGCTGGTCATGACATCCAGAAGATCCCTTCGGTGAGCCTACTGGGAATTAGTACTGTTGCATTCGTCACACAAAGGGGGCACGACGACTGACAGATTTCCGCACGAAGTCAGGGTGGCCCCAGGCTGCCTTAAAATCACCGGACCACGGCTGATCTACGCCTGTTCACCCTCCATTAGCTCAAGAAATCAGAATTTGCAACTCGAGACAAACCGAGGCCGGGTTCCATCAACAATCCTTCGAAAAACACATTCTGGGCATTCGGGTACTTGTTTCCGCAAGAGGCCTTCTCATATATAGGGCGAAACCCGGGTTCAATCAGGTCCATTGCCCGTAAACCATTTGGTGCAAAGCCGATACCTGCCCTGTCAAACAATTAGACAAGTATAACGTATAGGTGCATTCATCGTCTCACCCCACAGCCGAGTATTGTTTCGCTTCCTCATACAGGGTAAAAGACACGCCTCGCTTGTGCAATCCCATGGCCAAAGCCAGACCACCCACTCCGGCGCCTCATGTTCACATTAGCTTGCTGACGGGAACGAGGTCCTGTCTCGACAACTCACCAACAATGGCCACGTGTAAGTCGTTCGTCATGGTAGCTATCATGGTAGTTGTTGGTTGAACTGCTGTTGGATTGTTCTCTGCTGTCGAATCTTGTTTGTCAAGAGGACAATAGTTCATAAGAACTTACATTAGCTTGCGGGAGGAAACGTATTGGACACCAACTCTCGGCAACCTCGGTAGGTCTCCGCGAGATCAGGCGACGGGGACATATGTTCTCACGCCAAGGGACCTGAGTGGCGTGAACAAACCTTACAGGCAACTCGTTGAGATTCTCTTGTAGCCGATAGTAATCATACTCCAATCCGATGACCGACGATAAGAGAGTCGCCACAATAAGTCGTCTCCACCCAGGAGATAACGAAACACCCACATCGGTTAATGGAAATGGGGCGGCTTGCTAGGCTGGGCGTCGTGGGATCTTCCCGGACCAGATAAACCCCTCTTCGTCTCCCCCCGAAGAAGCCGTTTCTCCCCTTGACTTCTGGGTTCTTGTCATTCCCACTCCTCCACTGTCTTGCAACTTTGCAAGCAATTGGGAGCTCCGCTTCCGAAACGATGTCGGCACAATCACACGATCCAGCGCCGCACTTCGAGACACCTCCGACCAAACGTCGTCGAATCAGTCTAGCTTGCAACGCCTGTCGCGTGCGCAAGTCGAGGTACGTCCTCAACACGGCGCCGAGGCCTTGGGTTTGAGTAGGAGACTGACGTGATTTTGTCGTCCACAGGTGTGATGGGCAACGCCCCTCGTGCTCGTCTTGTATAGGACTCGGTTTTGTATGCCACTATGAGCCCACCGACTCCGCGGCCAACGTTCTTGTTCGTAAGGAGTACCTTTCTGACCTGGAAAATCGCGTCGCCGCCAACGAGCGAGGGCTTCAGCGGCTCGACAATTTGTTACAATGCCATCTATCCAACTGTGCCGAGAGCACACTCGACAGTACTGTGCGACAGTCTCAGCCTTCTGCTGCATCGGGAGCGATGTTGCCGCCGGAAGAGAGTCCCAATCGCGCCAACGTCTTGGAGGAGCCGCAAGATGAAGACGCACTGATGAATGGGATGGCCATGACCTTTACCGAAGAGCGTACGTCTGCTTACTTTGGAGAGTCATCAAATCTACACTTTACGCGGGTGCTGCTGCGTGCGACCGCGGCATTCCACCAGTCCCAATCGACCTCGTTGGCCCAAATGAAGGCTGACAGAGAATCGATCTTGGTGGAGAGCAATATGGAGAGACTGTCTCAATTTCATTCCTCGCCTCTTACGGCTTCTTCAAATGTTCCAGAATCTGCACTTACCGCTCTCCCGTCTGATGAAGTCATGCAGAAGTTGCTCGATGTCTATTTCGACACTGCCGGCGTTGTGTTCCCGGTTATCCACGAAGGTACAATGAGACAGGCATACGCCGAATTCAAAGCCAATGGCTTTACAAAGGTTCGTAGAACATGGCTGGGCACTCTAAATATGATATTTGCAATGGCAAGCAAGTTCCATCAATACGGAAACCAAGACGAATCCGGCAAGACAAGTATCGATTCTTCAGATCATTTTTACGAACGGGCAAAGGGACTTTGCGACACAATTGCAAAATCAGTAATAAGTATCGAGATCATACAATACCTCGTACTGGTCGTTGTCCATTGCCAGGGTACACAGAGATCTATCCAAGCTTGGAACATATTCGGTCTGCTGTTGCGCTCGGCAATTGCTCTGGGCCTTCATAGCGACCACCACAGGAAAGACCTCGCCCCGGCTGTCCAAGAGACCTATCGTCGCACCTGGATGGTCATTTATGGCCTAGACAAGGTTCTGAGTGTGGTCTTCGGAAGACCATGCGCGATCATGGATCAGGCGGTGCTTGGTCGCCTGTCCACCCCGTTGTCGTCTCATACGCAGCACGATAGTCCGGGCAATATGGATGATCTACCAGGGCAGTTCCTAAATGTGTCATTTTCACTCTACCAGCTCATGGGTATTTCGCTGGTGAAGCAGTACGGCGCGATCGCAGAGGCCAGCAACGTCGACACGGACGAACTGGCGTCACTACAGTCAATAGAGGAACTCCGAAAGAGTCTCAAATCGTGGGCTTCCAGCCTTCCCGCACACCTCCGGCTTTGCACGCCCCAGTCAGCAATACTCCTCGAGAACACCCAGGCAAATAGATTGCGCGTCATCCTAACTCTCAGGTACCACAACCTGAACATGCTCATACATCGGCCACTGCTTAGTTCGACACTAGCACGCGCGTCTCAAGGGGGCAACATGCACCACTGGACCTCACCATACGTATTCCAGCTTGCCACCGCAGGGGCCTATGAATGTGTGCACTCAGCGGAAAGAACCATCGACATTGTCCACGCAATTGTGAGCACCGACCCCACGAGCAACAACAACTTGGGCGTGTGGTACTTCACCTTATACTACTGTCAGTCCGTCTTTGAAACCCCGCTAGAATTGAAACCACTAACCGAGACCAGCATTCACAGCGTCATTGATAGTCTGCGGCCGGTGGCTGTTGGCCAAACATGGGCCGAACAGCCCCGATGAAGACGCCATAGCCCACTGCCAAAGCATTCTCAGCAAAGCTCAAACAATATTTCAGGCGCTCAGTAACGATGATGCTCTGCCAGAGAGCTGTTCGAAGTACATTAGCAACCTATCCGACATCTTCAACTCCCGAGGTAGGTTGCCTGTGGAGCAGAGATCCATGGCTTCGACTTCAGTCTTGCTAACATCTGTCCACAGGTTCGATCGCATCTGACGAGGCCGTCGACGATCCACGCTCTACGGCGGGTGAAACACAATCTGAAGACTCACCGGTCCACGTGAACAGTACCACATTCATGAATGCGGAAGGGCACGATGCGTTTGAGTTCTTGACTTCTGAGCTGTTAGAGCCTTCAGCTTTCGAAGGCTTTGGGTGGGCCATGGATGGTACTTTACGTGGGATAGTCTAGCACCCTGTATATGTCATTGAATCTACATGCAGCAATCAATGATATAATGAATACGATTCATGTGCTAGCTTATTGCAATGCAAGAGCCTTGCGTATCTTCAAAGCGGTAAGCTCGTTCACTGCCCGAGCGGTTGCATTATCCCTTAATGGGATTATCGAAGCATATGCATGCATTTGTCCCTCAGCCTTGATAATAGCGCAGTCCACTCCTGCCTGCTGAAGCCGGTGACCGAATGCCCTGCCCTCGTCAAGAAGAGGATCGACATCCGAAAGAAGAATGATTGTTGCTGGAAACTTGGCCAGCACTTGGTCCGACGCAAAGGTCAAGGGAGAAGTCAGTGCATTCTCTCGGTCCTTTTTGTTGGGCAAAAATGCGTCGATCATCCAGTCCATTGTATCGGATGTGAGAAAGGGCCCGTCTTTGTAGGTTTCGTAGGATGGCAATTTTATATGGGTGTCTGTGACCGGGTTCTTTATTACCAGCTGTACGATTTTGGACGGCAGGTTCCGTTCTAGACTCATTTGCATGAGGGCAATAACAAAGTGTCCTTTGCAATCAACGTCAGCGCCAGCAAACAACCTTAGACAGGCTGCCTAGTCTTACCTCCAACGCTGTCTCCAGCGAGAACCACCCGATCAGTCAGAAGGTTATATTTGTGTCCTTCGCGAACAACATGATCAAGGATGGCGTATGTTTGCTCGAATTGAAACGGATATTGTTTCCCCGGGGCCAGTGAATAGTCGGGGAACACCATGGCCGCGCCTGTTTGACGGGCCAAGTCCTCCATCAGTACTGCAAATGACTTGGAACTGGCAAAGTGGTCAGCCAACACCGTGGAGACAAGCAGTACGAATTGGTGGTTCGTTCGAAGGTCAATCCACCGATCTTTCCCTCACCTTCCCAATATCCACCCACCGCCGTGAGTATAGTACACCAACGGACATGGCCCTGTTGCAGACTTGGGTCTGAATATGGTCACTTTTGTTGACACATCTTCGAAAGGCACTTCAAACACTTCGGTTACAATGTCAGAAGCTGGTTCACTCTTCTGTAAACTTTCCAGAGCTTCGTGACCCTTGACGTAGCCAAGGATATGAGGCAAAGGCTCATCGACGATTGCTGCGGCGAAAGCTGCGTTGTGAGGGTCGAGGTAATGTTTTGCTGCCATTATGCCAGGAATGCTTTGTTGCTATTCGATCTGCAACGATTACTTCGCCGTCAGGTAAGCCGTCTAATTTATACGAGTACTCATCAAGGTCGGAAAAATAAGTGCCAGGGGTCTACTGGTGCACTAACGGGCCACCGTGGCTTGCTCAGCCCGGTATCGTTCCCGGTGACCTGGGTCCTCTTGGCTGGCTCCGAGGCCGGTGGAAAAGCCGCGTCACAGCTCGATACGGTCTCCTGTGCGCATCTCACCGTGGGCCATATGCTCGGCTAGAGCATCTTTTATTCCACGGCAGACGATCCCATTTCTACGATTAGCTTTGGTTAATAAATAATTGGTTTAATCCTCCACAAACTAATTGTCTGGCAGTAGATCACGCTTCTCATCGAGGATAATGCATCGACAGTAGGGAGAGGTTAAATTCCAGGTCTGTTAGCCTGCATCCTCATTACACTATCTATCTGTACTCAGTTTCCGATATCTCTCGCTGCGACCTCACTGTATCTATCACCTTGTGGCTTCAGAGACTCAACAAGTGCCCGCATTGCCCTCAAATCTTCGTCTGTTAGCTCGATATCTCGTGAAATCCAATTCTCCACGAGGCGCTCTGGTCTCGTTGTGCCTGGTAGAGCGATTATGCCCTGAGCTGCAATCCAGGCCAATGCAGCTTGAGCCATGGTGCAGTTCTTGCGCTGCGCAATTTTCTTGAAGCCCTCGGAAATTCTCTTGTTGACATAGAAGTTCTCGCCCTGGAACTTTGGTACTGTGCAGTAATTAGCAGCATTCCTTTTGAGGCATGAGAGGAAGGACGTACTGGTACGACGATAGTCATCAGGGGCAAAATCATCTGGGGACTCAAAGGGGAAGTGGTCCACAAGCCAGCCGTGTCCCAAAGGTCCGTACGCTATAAATGAGATGTCGAGCTCGCGAGCGGTATTGATAAGACCATCAGACTCGTGGAGTGTCTCAAATGGAGAATATTCCGCTTGAACAGCGTGGATCCTAGCAACTGTTCCTAGGGTCAGCGGCATCATCACCATCGACAAATATCTCTCGACATTGGGCTTACTTGAGTTTGCTTTCCGAAGCGTCTGTGCCGAGCATTCCGAAAGCCCAATGTATTTTGTCTTGCCTTCTTTTCGGAGTGAGTCCAATGCTGGAATGGATTCCTCGAGAGGAGTTTCTGTCTTCAGGTGAGCTGGCTTCTTCCAGTTGGGAAGATTGGCTAGTTACTGGGATCAATTCGGTGAAGGTAGTAGAGGTCAGGAGTGAACCCTAGTCTCTCTATGGTTCCCTCCATATAGGTCTTGATATGCGAGGCCGAGTTTGTTACTGCACCATCTTCGAAGACGGCAACGCCGCATTTGGATGCGACTGTTGCTTAGTCAATCCAAATGTACTTACAATGCGAGACGGGCAAACATACGGAAGATTTTGTCTCGAACGTTATGTTTCCTAATGAAGTCCCCCAGGATTTTCTCGTTGACGCCGGCTCTGTATGACACCTATCAACACACTTAGGGATAGATAGCGGTGCCCTGCGTCGGTACTTACAGCAGTATCCCAAAACGTACATCCCAGCTCCAAAGCCTTGAGTAGAATCGGTTCGGCTTCCTCATACGACAAATTCTTTCCAAAAGCGAAGCTGATGCCCATGGCTCCAAACCCGGGGACCGGAACCTCCTGGTCGGCGAAACGTATGGTTTTGACCATGTTTGTTACTAGGTCGTCGAATGCCTCTCAACTTCAACAGAGACGGCCGAGTGTTTTGTGATGAATAGGAAACAAAGATTCGTGTCTCCTTTGAGAGCCAAGGGATACCCGGTTTAACCGCGAGGCCGGAATCTGAGTTACACTATGAGCTTACGGCGGATGTGTCGGGTCATTTTTTTATCTTCACCTAACTCCTCCTCTAGCTACTATAGGAGATAACATAGGAGGCGCTAATAGCTCCCTCGGGCCGCCTCTAGCACTGATAAGGGGAAGTGTTCCCTGCGGCTAGTTTTTCCCCTTATCATTTCTGTGGAGTTGGCGTTCTCCATTGCCATCCTGATACTTGCTTTGGCCTATCAAAACAATCCCGGCCTGAAACCCGCTTATACCCCGGAGTCGGGGAAGATTCCGTTATCTAATGGAAATGTCTTTTGGTTCCCGGGATCTTGGTCTGGCCAAGTAGATCCCATGGACCACAGATTTGTAGCGGTCGATACAATCTTGGGCGAAGTCATTGTGACCAGTCGAGAGCAGTCTAGGAGCTGTATATCCATTAGTCCTCCCACCCCCCATGGCTTCCTTTCTTCAAGGTGCTGACCGTCTCTTCTTTTGAACCAAGCAGGACTAGTTTTCTCTGTTCTCTGCCCACTCGTTAAGCCCGGCTCTTTAGAAGACGTCCTTTCTGCGGCAACCCATCATGTCTATCATTGGTGACCCTCACCCTGCAGCTTCGACTGCGACCTCGGACATCAGCTCTGCCGGCCAGGATAAGATGGCCTACATCAGTGAAGAATTGGCTAGGGCTGAGACCAAAGCAGAAGGCGACTTGGTCGATATGGAGACTCATGAAGTTTTCAAGAAGAGCGTCGATGGCGTCGAGTTTCGAACTGTGAGCTGGCAGAAGGCCACGCTCATATTCAGCAAAATTGAATTTGCCATGAGCATCCTGGCCATTCCATCCGCCCTGGGGGCCCTGGGGGCCGTGGGAGGTGGACTGTCTATTGTCGGATGGACTACACTTAACACCTGTATGTCGGTGGCTTTCCACAGCTCTACGTTTTTGATGCTGACCGAAGGCGTCTAGATACCGGTGTTTTGCTAGGTGGTATCCGCAACAGACATCCAGAATGTCACAGTAAGCTATCTTTGCCCTCCTCTTGAAGATCCTGTTTTGACACCGTGATAAGCACTCGCAGACATGATGGCCTTGGTTTGGGGCAAATGGGGTCGTGAATTCGTCATCGTTCAACTTGTGATTATCCAAATCTTGGTCTGTGCCTCGGGCATAATCTCGACTGGGACGGGCCTCAATGCACTCTCCAACCATTCCGCCTGTACGGTGGTCTTCAACTTTGCGTCCGCAGCGATGATCACCATCTGTTCATCTATCCGCACTTTCTCCCGCCTGGGCTTGCTTACGTGGTTCGGATTTGCGACGTTTTTCATTTCTGTCTTCATCTTTTCGGTCGCAGTTTCACAGCAAGACCGGCCAGCGGCAGCACCGCAAACAGGCCCCTTCGATCTTGGATTCGTGGCCGTTCGAAGTCCAGGGTTCATTGTTGGAATGCTCATGACACTCAACATCTTCGTCAGCACCAGTGGCCCTTTCATGTATCTTCCTGTCATCGCGGAAATGAAAAACCCCAAAGATTTCAAAAAGGCAACGATCCTAGCCGGTGTCATTGTCGGCATTATCTATTTTACCTTTTCAATGGTCATCTACGCCTACTGCGGTGTTTGGATCGCAAGTCCCGCTTTCGGCAGCGCGGGGACGCTCTTCAAGAAGATCTCTTATGGCGTCGCAATGCCTGGCCTCGTTATTGGCGTCGGCCTCTACCAACACGTTGCGGCCAAGTATCTCTTCGTCCGCATCTTGCGGAACTCCAGGCACCTTCAAGCCAACACGCTGGTCCATTGGGGGACGTGGCTGGGGGTCAATCTCTGTCTAGGTACTCTCGGATTCATCGTCGCCGAAGCAGTCCCAGTGCTCAACTTTTTGCTTGGTCTTTCTGCGTCCCTCGGCTCTGCGTGTTTCAGTCTGATCTACCCTATTATTCTCTGGGCGAATGACTTCAGGGAATATCGAACTGGCACTCTGAAGCAAAAGGCCAACTATGTATTCAACGTGTCGATTGCAATTATTGGGGTTTTTATCCTGGTTGGTGGCACGTGAGTACAACCGTCCTCTTACACAAACATGCCCCGTTACTGACAGTGTGATGTTAGGTATGCTGATGCTATCTCTATCCGGGATGCTTTCCGATCTGGATTTATTTCGAAGGTTTTTGACTGTGCGGATAACTCGGGTTCTGTTGCCACAGGCTGAACAACTCTACTATGTTGGGAGTGCTTATCACCTCCAGCGATCGATTACTTTGTCCGCGATGAGCTTTATCCCGGGTGGCTCAATAACAGGCAGGCAAGACAGAGACGGAGGCAGGATCGACGTGTGAAAGCTGGTTAAACATACACCCTATATTGTGGCTTGGTTTGGCTGACTGTATACTTGAATGCACCTACGTACATATTTTCTAGTTATTCTCAATGATCCAGATTCCGTCCGTGTGATTTCACACAGGATTGTTACGCATTTCTCTCGTGTTTCGCAAGATCGATAAGATCGTATTACCAACATGTTGAACCTGGGTTTACATGGTCTGACGTACTCCAAGCAGCGATCTGCTCCCGCTGTTAATTCTCTTCGCGTTGCTATGGCAGGCGGTGAATGAGTCATGTCGCTGCTATCTCGGAAATTCCCTGCCTCACACCACTTGGGCTCTGGGTCACTCACAGATATGTATTCCATTTCATGGGTACGGCAATTTCTGTCTTGTGCAGCCGATTGCTCGATTCTGGAGTTCGTCAGAAACTTGATACCACGTTACAAACCACCATGTAGCTGTCGGAATTTCAGCGCAATACCCGCCTGTTAACTGATAATCCGCGGCGGGGGGAGATAGATCAGCCCCCCGATTGTGGTACTTTTTTGTCCCGAGTCGCGGCAACTTTTCCCATTGGATCAAATTCCGGCAACTCGAATGCCTCCACCCGTCAACGACTTACACTAGGGTTGACCCCTTATCTCGGTGTGAAACTGGTTACTCGAGGTTGGACTTCGGAGCTTCGGGGTTATAAAACTGAAATCTATCATCCTTTGGTGTGGCTTCGACATTAGTGTGGCAACACGAGTTCCATTCTCAGCAGGTCGCTTCCAACGAAATCCGTGACGAGGACAGAAAAGTGGTGTTTGCACAAGACTCAGAAACCATTCGATATGAATCTTCAGCACGATGGGTTTAGCTGGAGTCACCTCCTTCGATACTTGAGCTGGGCGGCCGCATCTTTTCTCGTCGCTCAAGTTGCCCTGTTTCTCTACAGGGCATTCACCTCGCCATTGCGTTCGGTGCCAGGACCTTTGCTTGCTCGATTCGGTAGAATTTATTACTTTGTGCGAGTGTCCCTGGGTCGTTGGGAGCGTGAAGATATCGCCCTGCATCGACGCTATGGGCCTGTCGTCCGGGTTGGAGCAGACCTCTACAGCATTGACTCACCGGAAGTGATAAAGAAAGTGTACGGCATTGGTTCCAAATTCCCCAAGTCGGATTGGTACGACGCATGGAGACATCCAGATGTTAACCGACTACACCTCTTTCCTGATCGCGACATGAAACGGCATGCCGAGACACGAAGACGGTTTCAGGCCATGTACTCGATGTCTAGCTTGGTTAGCTATGAAGGATATGTGGACGAGTGTGCCGTTATTTTTCGCCAGAAACTCAATCAATTTGCCGAGACTGGTGAGACAATCGACATGGCTCACTGGCTACAATGTTACGCGTTTGATGTCGTTGGCAATATTACATACTCGACTCGATTTGGCTTCATGGATGAAGGCAAGGATGTTGCTGGTTTGATGAAAGCTTTACACGACATGTTGAAATATGGCACGCTGGTGGGCGTTTACGCCTCGTGGCATCCTTTGGTCTTTGACATCTTCAGTCGCTTAGGGCTTGGAGGTGCTTCAGGCCGAAATTATTTGATCCAATATGTTCAGGACCGTCTGGAGCAGAGAAAGGCCGATAACAAAGCCAATGCACTTCAGGGCATTAGCAAAGGACACGCAACTGACGCACCCATGGACTTTTTGGAGAAACTCATGATTGCGAATCAAGCGGATCCGGAAAAGGTAACACCAGGCCACGTCTTTCTGATTGGCATGGGCAATATTATCGCTGGTTCAGACACGACGGCAGTTAGTCTCTCGGCGATTCTATACAACCTACTCAAATACCCTAACACGATGAAAAAGCTACGACGGGAAATCGAGGAACACTGTTTGAATCCTGAAATTTCGTTTAAAGAGAGCCAGAGTATGCCATATCTTCAAGCTGTCATGAAGGAAGCTTTAAGAATATGTCCTGCAACAGGATTACCACTTTGGCGAGTAGTACCTGAGGGGGAAGGTGTCGAAATCTGCGGCCACTACTTTCCTCCTGGCACTACCGTTGGCATCAACACCTGGTGCGCCCACTACAATGAAGATGTCTTTGGTCCAGACGCCAAGGAGTTCCGCCCTGAGAGATGGCTCGAGGCCGAGAAGGAGGGAGGTGAGAGACTTAAGAATATGGAAGCCTACTACATGCCAGTAAGTACAAGGTTTTCCATGTTGAATTCCTTCGAATACACTGACAAGTTGTCCCCAAGTTTGGGCTAGGTTCCCGGACTTGCATAGGTCGGCACATCTCGACTTTGGAAATGTCAAAGTTGATACCCCAGATTGTGAGGGATTTTGATTTCGAGCTCATCGATCCCGAAGGTTGGGACACGGAGAACAGTTGGTTTATCAAGCCTACAAATTTCCGGGTACAAGTCAAGGTTCGGTCTCAAAGATGAGATGGGTCATGCATGTGCATTGGAATTGTCAGAAGTTCGGCTTCACACCAGGTCACACCCTCCTTGATCCGCATGGCTCTTGAACGCCGTCTGAAGATCATTGGCACACGGCTGCGTCTCCAGCTGTGTCAGCAACTGAGAAATCGGGGAAGTTTGAGAGAAGAATTTGCATACATTGTCCTCGACAGGCTTGGAGCCGCTGAAGGATTGGCGGTCTCCCTGCTTTCATCAAAATTTTGGATTCAAATATCACAGGAGGAAAGGGCTCAATGGCCTGTCTCAAAAAGACGTGATGCTACAGTGCTCTAGAGGCGTAAGGAATACTCGAGCCCAAAGACTAGTGTTAAGTAAGCCCTCCACTACGAAAATATAGTCAATACAATATAGTCTCTTAATTCTTAAATCATAAGTAGATGGGCGCCTTTCCTGCATGGAAGAATATTCGTTCTTGAAACAATAGAAACGGCGATCCATAGGATGAATGCTTGCGATAGGCTGAGAGAAAATGTTTCAAGTCCACACCGAGTCTGCCGGGAAAATTCCGAAATGAATGTCCCCTGCGCCACTTTACTGGGACCAGTCGATTTACCCTCTTATCGTCCGAGTGCGTCTGCACAGCCGATATCCAATCGCCTAAGATTCATGTCATTTTCTGCTCAAAATAGCGAGCCCCACGCAGCCGTGTGTGCCGGTGGTTTGTATGCCATCGGCCTCTTCATCAGCGCCCGAATCCGATGTTCCCCGGCGTCCGGGAAGAACTGATCGGCGCTAGAATAAGTCACAGCTTTAAATTCTTTTCAATGCTTCGTTCATTACAGACAACGGTGCGAAGATACGACAGCCACAACATCCCAAGTTGTCTAACGCCTAAAATGTCCGCGCTCCTTGCCAACAAGCCTCTCCTCGGGCCCCTGGTCGCCCTGAACGCCTGGACTTTGGGCATGGAAGCCCTTCTGTACAAACGTCGAACGCCTGCTCTTGCAAAATACAACATCACCTTCGACCCGGAAACCGTCAAGAAGCAGAAAGCAGAGAAGTTGCCAGCTTTCGTCCAATGGCCGGCCGATAATTACAACAACCTACTGGAACAACCTACTCAGTTCTACGCCATCTTGCTGGGGCTGACACTTCTGGGCGTTAAGGATAGGAGGACTGTTGGTTTGGCGTGGGCTTATGTTGGGCTGAGATTCATACACAGCATTATTCATGTTTCCACCAATAAAGTCGTCGTACGCTTTGCGGTCTTTGCCGCGAGTTCATTCGCGCTACTCGGACTCACGGCCGAGACAGCTTGGAAGCTGTTGGTCTGAGTGTCGACATGCAACAGCTGAGCTTGAATTTTACCATTTTGGAGTTGGAGTATTCTGAGCGCCAAGTGGTTGTGGCACTGGAAGGTTGCGTGAGAGAGGTTGATGGTGCAATTCTATCTGTGCCTCATTTTCACTTTCCAGAATAATGACACAAGGGTTTTCTGAATAGTCGGCTACTGCTCACATGGATGTGATGGATGAAAATGTTATTTGGGTACAATCACTTCGACAATACAAGCACGGAGCTGTGGAAATTGAGCAGCATTGACGCGGGATGCTCCAGGACGCGGGAGAATAACGCCCACGGGGGCGGCGAGCCACTGTACATAACATGCTAAGCTGTAGACTGATTGCTGTAGTGATCTCGGGGGTACATCCCATCAGCTAGATTGGGTACGACTTTTCGTAGTCTTGCAGAAGACATTTTTGAGGATTCGATCTTGCCGCAATGCCCGCCTAACCCTACTCTACCACCGCGATTAAACAATGGTACCTACAAGATGCCAAGTAAGTGTCTTGGTTGGGGAAGTCTTCCTATTTGAGATCTGGGGACAATCTTTTTCCTCTCTCTTTGCTGCACGCGACCCGGCCTTGCAGATCACTCTTCCTCGGCTGGGTTATCAATCTGTCAGTTGAATAGGCTTGGCATTATGATCACAGCTCTAATGACCTGTGTCAGCAGGGAACATGCTTTCTTGTCCCACCGAGGAGCTCAAATATAATGTTCGGGATATGATTTTGGACAAGTTGCCTCGGAGATAACATTGACGGTGGTGTAGTCGCGGCCATAGTGATCTGCTGAGGATATCGCTTTCATTCCAGATGGGGTATCGAGTTGCGGGCTGGCTTAACTCAGCCTGTTGCGCAATCTAAGAATTGAACGTCTGACTATATCTACTACGGCTAGGTTTCTCTACCTCGACCTTTAGTCACTAGGTGGCTAGATTTCTTGTTTGAGGTGGCAATCGTCCCAGTGAGTCGTTATACTAGGTGAGTGCTTATCTGCCCATCCATCCGCGGTATATTCGGGAGCGGCAGCCGGAGTTGCGGGTGCCTTTTTCGAATTGGACCGTGCTCCATTTACTACCCGCTCGAATGAGGAGTGGTCAGGTTCGCTTACCAGGCACCCTAGGATTCTTGGTCCCTGCCGGGAAGGAGAGATCTATACGATCCCACTGAGTTATCAGCCAATCTCCTCGTGCCGATTTCCGAAGGGTGGACAATAGCTTAAGAAATTGAGCAGAAGAATATCCGCACATAATGTGCCCACTTGAGCCCTCTCATAGCTGACAAGAAGCACTTTGGCGGCGGCAAGTGACCATATTTAGGCTGTGCCTTCTGCCCTCGACAAATCGGTCTAGGCAAAGAGAGCTGTCGAGTCCAATCTGCTCAGATGCTATATCCAAATACTTTGTCTCCCCTAATACAATCACAGTGAATCAAGAACGATTGACTATCGTAGAAATTCTCTCCAAGCATGCCATACAAAACAATAAGTGGTCACATTGAGAGGATTTCTTGTTCCGGTGAGCCGGAGCCAGGACAGGGCAGTTGTTAGTGGAGTGGGATGCAAGCCTGCAGCTCTTCCCATATCTCCGTGCACATGGTGGACAGAATCAGTCCAGCTATCGTTGCTGCTAGACTGTGTTCTCGGGCCAACCGCATCAACTTCACCTTCCGATTAACCGTTCACTCGCTTGAAGCAAACACGCTAATGGTCCAGGTACTGCCACCAAAAGGCATCTAAAGGGGCCTCGAAGTTTGTAAGAAATATCCCCACAGATAACTCGCTTGCAGGTGTATGAGGCTACGGTACCATTACGATGGCTTATCAGGGTCTCGGTGAGTCTAAGGCACTCGGGCCGAGTCTCTCATCGAATGAGTTTGCTCAGGCTTCCTTGTGTTAGTCGAGATTAGCGCCACATATAGGCGAGATGAAAGATTTCCGAAAGTTTCCCTGATTGCTGGATTTTATCTGAGAAATGCTGCAACTTGAGATTTTGAGAAGTCCGACCACTCGTTCACCGCGAGCTATCCACTCGAGTACAGGAGAGTTCTTCTGTTTTGGCCTAGTGTATTTGTGGAAACTATGTGGAACTCGACAGTCTACTCCACGTGTTAAGAATATCATGCTAACCCAAGTCCGACCCATTGGGGGAACATTCGTATTGTGGGATTGTGGGATGATGGCACGTTGGAACTCCACGCAGAGAACCCCGTGCCCGTGGTAGTTAAAAGCGACCCCTTATCATGGTCTTATCTATGTATATGGAATGCTGCCCCACACGAATGAGGCCTTCTGGTGGTCTCGTTCCAAGTCTTATCTAACTCTCTCGATTCCTAGCTACTCGGATGATTTATATCACGGATGGTTCAATGATCCGAGCCATCCCCGTCATCCGCGAGCCGTTGTAGACGTGTCGTTGTATACATATACTCAGTACTTACCGTGTTGTGTGCAAGTACTCATCTTGCCAATTTCTCGAGGAAGAGGAACGGAATTACCCTATCACAGAGCTGTTATACACAACATCATGGTCACTCCCACGGTAGAGGCAAAGGATGCGGCCATAACCGAACAAGGCTCAACCACGGTTATGGACATTATTCCAGGCACTGAGTACATGCATGAGAAAGAGGCAGTCGATGATGCTACACATGATAGTGTCGGCCACGAGTAAGACTCTACTCAGTTGTTCATGCTCAACACTGACGACTCACAGTCTTTTCCCCCGGCCTACTGCTGACCCACTTGACCCTCTGAACTGGACAAAATGGTGGAAAATCCTAGCCATCTACAATGTCTCGATGTGCAATTTCTGGTTCGCTGTATCCACGCTGTCGCTGTCACCCTTGTTCCCGCTATACATGGAGCAGTGGGACATATCAGCTTCTCAAGTCGGCTTGACGGTTGGGCTCCCCATTCTCCTCCTCATGGTCGGGAGTTTTCTCGCTGTCTCCACCGCAAACATCTTCGGGAGACGCGCTTGTTTTATTATTTTTGGAGCCTTGTTCATCGTTACGAGTGTATGGCAAGCGGTGGCAAAATCTTACGGCAACTTCCTGGCAGCCAGGGCCTTTGTTGGGCTGGTCTCTGCACCATGCGAAGCAATCGGAGTTCAGGTAGCTGCGGACATGTTTTTTCTCCACGAGAGAGGTATCTGGGTGGGCGTTGCCATGTAAGCGAGACTATATGCCACCGTTATTTACTCTAAACGTTATGCAGACTATCAACGTTCCTCGGAACCTTCATCGGACCTGTCATTGCTGGAACAATGGGCGAACGGTAAGTGGGATATTCATCGCTTCCTATAACATAAGCTGACACCCCCACCCGCAGCTACGGATGGCCCAGTTTCTTCTGGATGTGCCTTGGGACGTTTTCCTTCTCCTACATATGTTTGGTCCTTACATTCCCAGAGACGAAATACCGCCGACATGCTGGAATGACTGCCCAAGAGACACACGCACCATCAATTCTGAGCAAAGGACGGCCTTCGAAGGCCAATTTCAAACTGATCCAAAGCCGGGACCCGCGTTGGAAGATGTTCCTTTTGCGTGACACCGTCATGCCTTTCCAAATCTGCTATTTTCCAATTGTCCTTTGGACTGGTTTATGTTTGACAGCGGGAGCAGCTATTACCCTGGTCTGGAACTTGATACAATCGTTCGCCTTCAGCGCGCCACCTTACAACATGAACCCGGAGCAGGTTGGCTACCTGAATTTTGGCATGGCCATTGGGCTCGTCATCGGCACGTTGACTGCTGGACCTCTGTCAGATTGGGTTGCCCGGAAGCTTACTCAACGCAACAACGGTATCTGGGAATCAGAGATGCGTCTTCCTGCCATTCTGCCATATGCGGTCATCATCACCATCGGAACAGCGATAGCTGCTGTCGGTTTGCATAGGCAGTGGAGTTGGGCCATCATTGTCGTTTTCGGCTTCGGTACTGCTGGCATGATGCTCAGCAGCCTTCCCACCATTGCCATTGCCTACGCTGTAGACTGCTATCGACCTGTCAGCGGCGAGATCATGGTTGTTGGAACCTTCATCAAGAATGTTGTTGGCTTCTCGTTTTCGTACTGGGTGCCAACGCTTGGATTGACGAAGGGCTTTCATGTTCCTATCCTGGTATGGTACGCGTTTTGCTTACTAGCATTCGTGCTGACAATCCCCCTATACATATGGGGCAAGCGACTACGCATGATGACTAGTAAGAGTAAAGTACACCAGCTTGAGGAGATCATGTAAGCATGGTCTAGAGGGGCCGGTGTGGACAAAGAGTCTATCCTTCATGAGGTGAAGACGAAAGGCAGTTCTTGTGTACTCGTTGGTAACTAGATCTACAAGACTATATGTCATGCAACGCTCGATGTTTAGGGTTCAACCAGGATGTATTGACAAGACTGAACTCCAACACTTGGAGATCAGGTCTTGTAGTATTTATACAGCAAATAGAGCGACTACTTTTCTCCTACTTGCATGTTTTCTCTCTTCTCCGTCGCATTCGGGGCGTTCAGAGAGTCATCGGCGAGAGCATGTTCAAAATGAGGTCATTAATATAGCGAAACATAGTGCGTGTTTGGTGACTGGAAGGTGTTGCAAAGTTGTGAGGAGCGTCAGGGCGTCGGCATTTCTTAGGGTGCGCGAGGCTAGAGTACAAGGTTGAAATGACGTTCTCAGAGGGACCTGCAACCCAGCCTGTTCAAAAGTATACTTGTTATATCTGGTTAATGGGGTTCATCGAAAACCCCAAGAATTAATGTACAATGATGTTACGCTTCGCTCTACGTAGGATGTCACGACACTTGGAATTTTCCGACAAGTAGGAAGTATAAGAAGGGAGGCCGCTGAGAGTGTAGTTCCTGAGCGAAATACCAGAGCAAAATGATCACAAACAAAATGTGTAGGTGTCAAGGGTGTGAGATTACGCTCGGGCTCTTAAATTTTCTTCTTTAATTCATTATTCTTTTCTGCACAATCATGGCTCCTCGTTGAAGATATATGACCAAGAAATGACTATTCCTTCTCCCTATGATTCCATATCCGAGGGCATCGGGACTGAATCTTCAACCTTGGGTATGATCGTGAACGAAGTTGAATACGTATCCCGCCGCGATTAGTGTCTCTCAGCGTACAACAGTGTTGCTCAGTGTCGCTAAGACTCATTAGTACTGAACACAAGTAATTCCCCTTGATTGCCCTCGATCTTGGTTACGTGCGGTGGTGGCCAGTTCATCCCGCACGTATGCATGTTCGCTTTACCTTTTTCATGTTCATTGGCTATCGTCACAGCTTTGTAGGCGATCTGCCGGTCAGGTCTATTCGTAACACCCACCAGGCATAGATATTTTTATGTAATTTGGGAAATTCAGGTCTCTGTTGTAGTAGTTTAAATCTTGTCTCAGTAGCTATAACTGATAAACGAAAGCAAAAATCCTGTTTCTATTCAATCTCAATCTTGATGTTCCCAATTCCACGATCCACACAAGCTTGTAAGGCAACCCCCTTCTGGCTAGGCAGGAGAGCCGTGCTTTTATGTTGGACGTTTCCTTTGCAGAGAATCACCTTGCACGCACCGCATGCACCGCTGAGACAAGATGAAGCAACATCGAACCCGGCCTGCGTCAACGCGTCGAGAAGAGTCCTGTTGGCTGGGACTGTCAGGACGCCATGTCTGCTCTCGTCCGGGTCGTCGACTTCGACGTCGAACGGGTCGCCAAAGTCGCCCCCTTCAGCACTCCCGAAATCTTCATAATGGACCATGTGCTCTGGGTAGCCAAGCTCGCTAGTGATTCGGGCACATTCTTTCATCATCCTCGATGGGCCGCAGGAGAATATCCGGACGTTCGGTGTGCCGTCTTGGGACAACTTAGGGATGATGGATGATATATTGAGGCGATTACCCTCTCCAGAAAAGTAAAGAGAGGTTTTATCCTTACGAAGTCGATTGAGGAAGGCAGCTTCTTCAGGCATACGAGCTGCGTAGTGGACATGATATGGCAGGCCTTTGTTTTCCCAATCCTGGATGGATGGAAGGAAGGCAGTGACTCCGATGCCCCCGACGATCACGACTCTCTGAAGACTCTCGTCACACTTTTTCTCCTTTTCTTGCGCACCCAAATTGTCACCAGGAGACATTGTGATCTCATCCCCAATTTTGAGAGAGTCGTGGAGATAGGTCGAGCCGCCTGTGGAGTTCTGATGAAGAGACACTCCGAGGGTGAATTTGTACAGATTTCCCTCAACAATTGAGTAGGTGCGGCTAATCGGGTTGCCCTTGGGTCCAAAGGTGATCATGGCGAAAGCGTAAGCGTTAAATTCAGGTGTCCTAAGCACCAGATTCTCGCTCAGCTCGAAAGTGAGTTTACGGACGCGGGAGGCAACCATCCGGGCATCGACGAGTTTGTATGGTTTTGGGGAGTGTATCAGCTTTTCGTTTGCAATGTCAAGCCACAATTGAGTCATTGGCAGCTGCGTGCATTCGGACAGCAGACGAAGAGGGACAGTCTTACCCCTGATGACTCTCTGCACGTTCAGTATAGACCATTCCGGGTAAGGCCGTTCGAGTAGCGAGATTTTGTCTCCTTTACAGACCATGCCCGGCTGTAGGACTCGCATATTCCAGCCAGATCGGCCGGATTGAATCGTGCGCTTCAACATCCTCGGCCACTGAAAGCGGTGGTTGAGTTTGTAACAGGGATGTCTTGGCTCGCTTACCTCCAGCAGGACGCCGGAGCCGAGCTTATACACATCGCCAATACAGACATTGTCTTCCCTCATTCCCGTTGTAACAAGATTCTCTCCAAATGACCCAACCTCGTACAGATCGGGTTGAGCAATGCCCTTTTCTGATCGCCATTCTTTATAGTTGCCAGAGTCATACTGATGTACAGCGCGTTCTGTGCCACCATGGAATGCTGCAGAGTGTTCATCTCCTTCTAAACCTGTCGGTCCACAGAAGATCGGCTCTGTATGTGCTTTCTTGTAGATGGCGGTGGTGATGTGTCCCCCGAGGCCGGCTTTCTTGACTTTTCCGGTCCGTGCTTGAAGCAGAGTGGTTTCTGGAGGCCACGGTGCATGCTCCAGCACAGTGATTCTTTCCCTAGGGATATTTATTGGTGGATGCATAGCCATTTCTCTGATAATAGTTGTTAATGCCTGGCAAGATAAAGATGCGCTCCACAGTTTTGTGCTGACGAAACCGAGAATCAACGGTCCAAAGAAGTTGGGTTGCAGTATTCCAAGTATAGCATTTAATCCCGGCAGAAATATGCTCTGGTTGCATTGGCCAACATTCGAGAAGTTCTTCAATTAAGAAGAGGTCACGAGCTGCACTAAGAAGCAGGGCCTTTAAAAGGGTGCCGAGTCCGTTAGTCCGTTAGTCCCAAGCCAGTCCCTTAGTCCCAAGCCAGTCCCGAAAGAGTTCCAGCCTCGATAAGGCTCGCAGGTAGACAGACAGATTAGAAGATATAAGGTGCGATAAAGTGGAGGGGGAACGAACTGTGCATGATTCTCCCGCTCGTTAAAGCCGAGATAAAATTGACCCTTCAACAGAATGAAGGTGATAGGGCGGGACTACGAACAACTAGATACTTTGGCGGCATCTTTGCAAGGGGCTAGACTTATGCGCCCGCTACGAATGCGTCGAGACTTCGGGAGGTGAAGCGGGGAGATTTCGGGTGCTCCTTGAGCGTGTCGAGAAGTCCCGGACCTTCGAACCGCTTCAGCTCTTCCGGTCTTTATCGGGTCAGAAGGTTCTCCAGGCAGATAGGAAAGGTGGGAATTCCTTATCTTCCCAACGCATACTGTACTTTTCTCAACGGGAAGTGCATCTTGCATGTGGCTACTGAAGTTCAGATGCGGCTCCCCGTGAAGTAAGAAGTTGTGGGACATCGGTATTGTCGAGACTAGAGTATCATAACCACCTGGCGGGTTGCGAGCAGCAAAATATCCGAAATTGGCGCGGTAGCTGGGGTTGGCTATAGGGTGGTTCTCCCGGCATGGCAAAAGTCAATACGCCTGTGTATGGATATCTTACAGTATCAAAGATGGTTGAACTTCTTATCCGACGAACTGTTATAGTGTAATTCTCTAAATTGTCTGCTACCTAATCTGATGGACCGATGTGGTCTCAAGGTCCAAGCCCGCGCGTATCTCGGCGGAAAAATATCGTCGAATTTACATTGTAGTGGGAGGCCTTGAACACCGACCCACCAGTTCAATGGAGGACCGTTTTAAGGTAGACAACCACGTGGAGGAAGATATCAGCACCATTGCTAACCGCGCAATAGGTGATGCCGTTCAATTTGTGGTCTCAACTGATACGACCGTTATCCGTGCCAACAATAGAGGGTTTGGGTAGGAACGAGAAAGATCGGAGGCCACCTCTATGGTAACTAACTGGTATACTGGTATTGAATCGAATTGCGAACTGTCTGGGTCGACTAAAGTTCCTCGGTACGAGGCGGATAAAGCTGAATTAGCACTATGTCCCTCAAAAAGGCGAGGGCTGCCGGGGCAGCCGGGGCAAATGCGGAACGTTCTTCGGCGCCTGGGCCTTGTTCCAGTTAGCAGGGGACTCTCGAATCAATACCCCGAGATATGAGAAGTCAGCTTGCCCTCCCGACCTAGCGGTGATCCTCGCATCAGCCGTCAAGAGAAGCCAGAGCTAGCTCCTCTCAGAGGGATATCAACCGCACGCAATGATCTGTGTCAACCGCTGAGAGTGGGGACAACAATCCGGCGAGCGAAATCTATGGTAACGCCTAAATCTGGTAATGGGTATTTCGCATAATGGGGTCTGTATTTCGCCTAACGCCAAGGTCCCTATACCCGGTTGGGCCAGTATATAGACCCCCCTCTTTATTTCGCACAAGACGCCCCTCACGCCTATAATTTTGACTCCTCACACTTATACAAGGGGTCTCCCTAAACGGGCCGGCACCCCCCTAGTCGCTCCTATAATTCTATATTATTTTGTTCGTTAACTACACTCTCATGGCGCATTTTTTTTCATTGAAAATCCCTTAGTAATTAGATTTCACTGCTCTATAAGTGTATGCCCTCATGTAGAATAAAGATTAATTTTGAAGTGGTTGTAGAGCAGTGTAAACAATAGGTGTTCACCAGAGAGGGGTTTCAGGGAGACCCCTTGTAACTTAGACCCATCACGCCTATAATCTAGACCTATCACAACCGTACTCTATTAGGCTTCTCGCCCCTATAACTTAGGCTCTTCATGCGCGTAACTTAGACCTCTTACAGCCACATTTTGGGTCTCTCGTGTCTATAATTTAGGTATTTGGACTTAATTTTGCGAGTCTTACAATTTAGGCACCATGAAACTGCAAAGTATGAGTCCTTACAGGCTCTATGGTGATTGTGATGTTATAGTGGTGTCCGGGTAAAGAATAGGCACCTAGTGGGCATGGATAGGCATGAGTCGCGAAGTTAGGGGTGCCTAGAATCGACACTATCGACATACTTAATTAGGCGTTGTGCGAAATATTTGGTTAGCGTCTATCTTGGCACATCACAGGTAGCCCATTTCCATTCTCTCCCTGTCTACTCATCGATTACAACCCCTATTCCGTGCCCGTAACAGCCTATAATTACGCCTATCACTACGCTATCTAGCCATGTCGACTCCCGTCCAACTAGCCACGAAAACGAAAGCCCTTTGGCCTATAAATCGGCCTCAAATGATGAGTTCCATAAGTGTAACTCCGACCAGGAGGGCGTGGCGGCGCAGGAAGATACCCTGGAGGCTCTCGACACCACGCAACCTAGTGAAGAGGCCGCGGAGGAGGAGGTCAAGATCGAGGACAGGCAACTCATATTCCAGAAACCATGACCTTTCGACTAGACTAGGTATATATAGAGTGCATTTCGCGGCGAAAAGAACTCCCATAGGAGATTGGTGAGAGTCGCCTCTAACTAGCACACAGAGAGCATCACTTGTATCGATCCTTGTATCGATCCTTGTATTCCTTGCATCGTTCTTAGCATCATTATATTTTGGAAGTCTAGAGCGCCTAGAACGTAAGCCTAGAACTCGAGCCAAGAACGCTGTGAATAAGCCCCCTTAGGGGGGGTAAGGGAAAATTATTCCTCATAATGCGATTTAGGCGTTACCTAAATCTACTTCAGTATGTTTCTATATTCATTAGACCCTAGTAGTGCTTAACAACTAATCATTAAAGCCTTCGAAGTTGTCTCTTTCTAATTATCGACTTAGTAACGAATTACAAAACTATCTCTAAGGAACTCTAAACCAATATAGACCTAGTAACTAGGTATCTAAATAACTACTTACATTATAGTTTATCTATATTATATATTACATTTCGCTTCACCAGAGATATCACTATATATATAGTTTCCTGATAAGTGGGAGATATAGAGTATAGCCTAAGAGCGTGATAGCTATAAGCGATAGTTTTAAGCGAAGTGATCATAATCTAAAATATATAGATATAATTATAAACAAAGTTGACAATATAGTAAGTTTATATAATGACTATATATATATATATCTTAGCGATATTATATTATCTTACTATAGTGTTATTATACTAACCACTATAGCATTATAGCACCACATTATAATACTCTCTTTCTAAACTAGAAAGTTATATACACTAGCCTTGCTTATAAAGCTACCTCGCTTAACTTATCTTTTTTAATATTCTATTATCATGAGTCAATATATAGTCTATAGATAGACCGACTTATAATATTATATTTCACTCCACTAAAAGTGTCACTATATATATTGTTTCTTAATAAGTAAGAAGTATAAAAGATAAAATCACTAAGAATAAAGTACTTAAGCGAATACTAGAGCGAAGTAATTATAATTAAAATATATAACGTAGATACATAGCGAATAATACAACATAGCGAATGACACACACCAACCCCCCCACCAACACCACTATTATTCCACCACAACGCCTGTAATCAATCAAAACTATTTAGAGTCCTCTTCTTCAGATGTCTCTATATCGATCTGACAGGTTCTCGCATTATGTCCGACTTCGTTGTAAGCACCATAACGCCGAGGGCGTGTTTTGGTTCTTGGCTTACGACCACTGTTAGCCTGCTTTTCCTGCTTTATTTGATACGCAATATTAATCTGGTCCTGTAAATCCTGCGCAGCTTGCTGGGTAAGTGATCCTCCTTGCCATAGTCATGTCTTTTTCGCTCTTCGGCGTTTACTAAGTTCCTTATTCGCCTGTCGAAGGATTTAATTCTTCGTCTGTAATAACGCCAACTTATACATTATCTTTAATGTACCCTTCGCAAACTGGTCAATAGCCTCGTAAATCGAGGTTGGAGAGCTATTTTGATAACGAATAATTCGATTCTTGATGAAAGTAGTTTGTGACGAGGCTTTGGTTGGGTTGTTCGGCGTCTGAGATACCCAAGGTTGAGCAGTACTTGGGCGAGAGGTTAGGGGCGTTGGTGTCTTTAATTTAAAATCAAGTGTAGAAATCACTCTCTCCGGGTCGAATGGGATAAGTTTAGCACCTCTAAAACCCCCTTGAATATTACTTTCGGTGATTACAGTAAAGAATGCAGTGCGGAAAGCAGGAAAAAAATTATCCTTGGTAATGTGCGTTATTTAGGCCTGCATTATATTCTCGATTTATTGGCTGTACGCCTTCTTTAACGGGCTAAAACACCTAATATTTAGTGGTTAAAGTAAATAAGAGAAGTGAGGAGGTATACAGAGTGTGATAATGTTGTTCTCTTTATAATATTCCTTAAATTCGTCTGAGTGATGACTTTTATAGTTATTAAGAATTAATAGGCGATATCTATCCATAGTTTAGGACCGAGTATACTTCTTAAAGTGCTAAATTTAGTCTATATCTCTCTTATTCATTATCTAACCATTTTTAGTAACTTCGATAGTCTAGTTAAGTGGAAAACCGCTATTCTTATATCAAGATACAAGGTGATTTTTACCCGCAATAATGATGAATGGCGAGATCGCCTAGCCCTGAGAATTAACGCCCTAAACTATCGTTACCCATTCCCGATTGCTAGGCTGCACCTTTTTAGCCTTAACTCGCCCGTCAGAGCTTGTTATAACCATTGCGGTCAAGATAACGCCCATTATAAACCCA